CGGGTATTAAAAAACAGAAAACGAGTGGTTATTTGATTTTCGTTTTAAAATACAAAAATTAAAATTGAAATACAAGGCGTTTTTCTTTTTTATGGTCAAAAAGGGATGAGCGAAATTTAAAAAATGATTCGATTTTCATTTTCTATTTCATATAACAAAAAATAAAATCACTAGAAAACAGAAACGGAAAAAGGCCTGTTTTTTTCATATTCTGAGACCGGATGTTGTCATTTACAACAAAAATTACAAATTGGCATCCATTTCGGCGTCTCGCGCTCGCCATCCACTCAAACAGTAACGTCTACTACTCTTAAACAAGTGAGTGCGGCGTGCCTGTTGTTTGGTTTCCAGTCTAGCTAGATCCGGTGTGGTGTTGTAGTTTTTCTAACGTTACTAGTTGTTGCAACAACATGTGAAAAAAACTACAAAGTGTGCTAGGCCAAAAAGAACGTTAATCTCGCTATAAAAGAATTGACACCGTTAAAAACGCGTTTAACTGACAGCGCTAATTTATATATATAGAAAATAAAACACATTGGACTACTGTCTAATGATTATTATTTATAACAATTCTTAAAGAAGTTTCAATATTATCAGTAAAGGCTATATGTTTTGGGGTATCTCCCAAAAGGATCAAATACGGTTTTAAGGATGTAATTGCATTAATTACTGTTGTTGTTGCTTTGTACCTACTGCCAATACTGATCATGCTATTGTAACATGCTTTATTTTAGAAGTGTAACTGGACTTTGGATATTTATTATTGCTAATTTGACCAGAAGTTGCAGATGTTTCATGTTCATTGTTGCTAGTTTAACTGCTAGGCCGTGTGTCCAGAAACCAAGGAATGAATGAAAATGTATTTATCATTATACTAGGTACTTAAGTAATTTTAAGTGACTTCATTTTGTAATTTTTAAATGAACTGTGGAATTAAAATAACTTGTAAAAAAGTACTTCATGTAGAACTTTTTTGGTTAAAATAACTTATCACATTACAGTGAATATGGCCCCAACCCAACATAAAAAAGAAAAAATTAATATGTTGTCATAGCGAAACCAATTTACAGTAATCCCAATGACTAGTGTTCCTCTAACGTTTCCTCCCCCACAAGAAGAAATTAAACACCTGTGACTGACAGCAGGTCATACTACATTTTACTGACTCAGTTCACAAATATATACTCAGAGCTCCCAACTCTCACGCTTTCACCTTGTGACACACGGTTTTGCCTGTTTTCAGACGCACTCACGCCACTCATCCAATTTCTCAGGCAAAAACAATCGTTCATTCCTTATTAAACTCCCGGACGGTAGATGGCGCTGATGAGTGCCACTGAACCCTCTGCGCTGCACCCATATATGCTGCACCCCGTTCTATATATACAGTCTATGGCACCCTGAAGTTAGTGACAGAAGAAGAGATACCGAGAAAGACAGCGGGAGAAACTACCTCCAGAAGTCTGATGAGAATCTGAGCTGAGACTAGGTATGTCAATGAAATGTCGTCCAATTGAGTACTCACTCTCTTAAACTTTAAATCTTGAAATAAATGATATGTTTGTGATGATTTAGTGTGGTGAAAGCTGTCATAACAAGCAGCAGGAGACCCGTTTTTTAAATCATCAATCATGAAGTGCTCTTAAGAATACAATTACTCACAACATAGGTTAAGTTTCAGTTAAGAATTAGTTTAATACCATTCTAATCAAAATATCAATCAACCTACAGGTACCTAGGTCAAATCTTAAACACTGGTCTATGAATAAGGCTTCATTGTGATACAGGCAGTCATTTAGGCACAACAATAGTTTTCTGGTTGAATGTTCAGCTCAAGTCTAGAAGGCCCTACAAGTCATGATGCCGAACATGAATCAGAATAAGTTCAGGTATTGCACATCTTTAGCAGACCACCCAAAAATCCACAAGAATGCAGGAAATCACATCTACTTAATCCAAAATTTCCTGGGGGTGGACCTTCAGCTATGTCTGCTTCTCAGAATGTAACCAATATTGTCCATCTCCAGTAGGCTGCCCCTATCAGCGGCTTTGGGCCTCCCCACAAACCACCAGAATGCAGGGTACAACATGGGTACAACATCAAATGAATTCCAATTCTCTGATATCTGAGCCACCAACTTGTGTGGCTGCATGCGCTGCATAATTTTGGTCACCCCCGACAAAATCTCACTTTTTTGAAAAGTTGGCAGCTATGTATACTTGATTATGAGCATTATTAGTCGAGACTGAATCTCATCTGTCATGAATATTGAGGTAGGTAGAAATAGGACAAAACAGCCCAAATGTCTTGGACCCTAATATTAAGAGTAGATAGTTATAGTATCACTTACTTTTAATGCACAACTGCAAAAATACACAACACACCATCGTTTTAACACCATTTCACTCTCTAATGTGTCGTGGAAAATCCCCTCAGACATGCTGATGTGCATTTAGGGGATTACTGATGGTTCGCTGTCAGCAGATAGATTAAACTGTAGTTCAGCTTAACTCCTGCAAAAAATCACACATTTGCTAATCTTGCGGTTTGTCTAATTTGCTTTCACATCACAAACGAACTACATCAGAGTTTGATCAGAGCTAGATTCAGTGCTTCCTTTTCAGCCGGCTTACATCACAGTTCCACTGGCAGCAGGGCCCGACCCAGTGGTGCAAAGTAACTTAGTGACTTTAAGTAAGTGCTTTACTTAAAGGAAAATTCCAGTTTATTTCAACTTGGTGTATTTCCTATGAATGTGGCCTTTGTGGCTCTATTAGTTTGGCTGACTTTGCACTCGCCACCTCTGTTGTAGAGATTGTAGATATTAACATATCTGGGCTAGCTGTGCAAGCCTCTGACAGCTTTCTAATGGTTTTTATTGAATGAGTTCCTACACTTGCTTTTAAGTCCGACCAAAAGTAAACCTCAGTTTGTTGACGTGTGAGGCTGTTGACGTTGATGATTGTTGGCTGTTTCCATTTCACATGTGCTTGAGGAAGAGTTGTAGCAAACAAGATAAGGTGGTCCATGCCTGCACGTTTCCGAATTGCAAGATGCACATCAGGCCGTTTTCATTTCCTGGGGCTAATTGTCCTACACAATTGTCACCTTTTCTCTCAGAACCTGCTGTAATATCGGTGCATAGTGGGTCCAGTAACATGTATAACCAGATGCTAGTGTTTATTTGTTCTTTTGAGTCATACATATTCCCCACGTGTTGTACAGTATGGAAAACTGAGGGCTGCCTTTCTCCCAGTTGGTGTTGGCAAGGTGAAACAGAGTCTCTAGGACGGCAATACTGATAATCGCTGAAAATTCATTTGTTGAGGCTATACAGCTGCTATCACATCTTTGGACAGTCCTGTTTTCCAAGTCTGGCATCAACAAGCCTGAGTCTCTGCAGCAAAGCTTTTTCCCCTTCACATACTGTACTTAGAAAATGTCACTGTGAGCTCTACAACTGTTTTGGCGAGTTATTGAAACCAAGCACTTAATGTACTGATCAAGAAAATAATCACGAGATTAATCCAAAATGAAAATAATCATTAGTTGCAGCACAATAATTCAAATCTTGCTCCAGCTCAACTAACAAACAGGTAAGTGCTTTTTAAATATCAATGCATGAGTAATATTCTAATATGTTATATCAGACATTATAAATATCACAGGGACCATTTCTCTGCATTGGCTACTTTTACTTATGATACATTTTACTGATGATACTTTTAAGTCCCTCTTTTTTATAGTCTGTGTAGATTTATGCTGCAGCTGCTGAAGCTTACTGTAACACACTGACCCTCCTGGATATGTGTGCGTGTGCGTGTGTTATATCATTAATCATATCCGTCACCTCCCTAGCTGCTGGCTGGAAGCTGCTGTAACAACAAGCAGGTTGCTTGTAGTTATTTCCAATAACTCAAACTACAGGTCTCTATTTTCACTGTGAATATATTTGGATTATTTTGTAACAGTATAACAGCTGCAACATGTGTGTGTGTGATTGCACCACCGTGCTCTTTATCGCTTAAAAATATAAGTCACCTCCCCCCAGTTTACACCAAATTTCTGTTGCACAAGACTCCACTTCCCCTTCCCTCCTGTCAGCAAAACATGTTTAATCTGATCATCTTCAGTGCAATAATGTTAGACCCTTCTCACCTTCCCTGGCCTTGACTTTGTCACGACAGAGCAGAAAAAATGTGTGTGTGGGGGGGGGGGACACCGCTTATCTGAAAGCATTTCTCTCTGCTGAAGCCCCTATTCATTCTTGACAGCTTGATTTTTTTCCCTCCCTCTAACCTCCAGTGGAAAGAATGGCAGAAATGTAAGCCTGGCTTACAATTTATCACAGAGTGGCGGAGAGGGTGAAATTTAGCAGTTCCACAAAAAGGGAAAAATTAGCCACTGAGGTGGAAGGGTAGGCTGGCAGGTGATCAGAGCTTTAAAATAGAACCCATGCAAGGACCACACTTAGAGAATGTAATAAATTATGAATAAGGGTGTTTACAAAGATGGGCGGTAAAATGAGAAGCATACTTATGATTGGTTGATTTGCGTGTGCAAAGGTTGTTGGTTGTTGTTGGTTCGATCCCTGGCTCCTCCTGCCACATGTCGAAGTATCCTTGAGCAAGATACTGAACCCCAAATTGCTCCCGATGCTGTGCATCGGTGTGTGAGTGTGTATGAATGTTTCTGTTAGATTGACTTTGCCATCACTGAGTGAATGTGTGTGAAAGGGTGAATGTGGCACGTAGTGTAAAAGCGCTTTGAGTGGTTGGAAGACTAGAAAGGCACTATACAAGTACAGGTCCATTTACAATTTACCATTATATCCTAAAGTAAAGTATCTCCAACATACTGGGAATATTCTTAGTTATGTGGGGGGAAACCAGAAAGTCTTGTCCTCTAAGCATGAAAATGTATCTGAAATCAAACCTTTAAGAAGTGCAGTCTAAAATGAATATTCTTAGAAAATGAATGTGAAACACAGAAATAGAGCTTCCTGATTAAAGTATTTGTTTAATCAAATAGCCTAGTTCACACAAGCAAGTGCAAGAGCCAACCAAAAAAAAAAAAAAAAAAACTGACCACAAAGCTTTCAAATCCCTTTTTTGGTGCAGCTTTCTCCATCTTTTCCTTCCATGGCACATTCCTTTCATATAACACTTGATTAAGTGGATGATAACTGAATCATAACATTACAATCAACTGTTTTTCTACATAATTTTAAAGTAATTTTACTTTAAGAAAATTATTCATTATAAAACATCATTAAAAAGCAATAATATAAGAATAACACACGGACTGAACAAATATAATCACAAACATTTGCAGGCTCAAGGCCATGTGGAAAATGACTGGACAGTGAGTGTGCACACTTTTGGAGAAGCACACTATTTTAGGATAGTTTATAGATGCTACAGTTGGGTGTTTCAGAGTCAGTTGCCGACACCACTTCCCAGACTTGTACAAACCTCTTTTTGTATAACATTCAAAGCCCTTTTCATGTAGGACTAGGGTGAAAAAGTTCACATTAAGAAACTATGGACCCCTTCCTGGATGCATTTGTCACTCAAGGTTGTCCGACACACTTGACTACTGACTACATTCAGTCAAATCACCATTGTTTCATTCACTGCAATAAAGAAAGGTAATCGTGGTGAACATGAGGGTTTGTAGCAGAAATGGCTTTTGCTAGATGTATGTTTCTAAAAAACAAAAAAAGCAGATTACTTGGTCTTAGTTCAACTTCCTTAATGTTATCTTCACTATTGATAATCTCTATGGGAACTTGATGGAGCAAACACAAGCGACCCGAAGTGACCAAGGTTATAGTTCTTTACAAGATACCACTTGAAATCCATGTTTCTTCCACTTGGCTCATTCTAAGGGAATGAAATTCTTATTTTCAGATGATTATACATAAATGAAATCATACCTATGTTGCATTTCTGCCAACAGATCCTCCTAACTGTTACAGCGTGCTTTGAAAGGCAAAAAGATTTGAAAATACAGGCAAGAATGGTGTTTGTTTATTCAGTCTCGAGGTGACATGAGTTTCCATTTAGATTTGTGCAGATATACTAATTTCATTGCTCTCCACCCTGACAAAAAAAAGAAGAATGCAAACTTTTACAGCATTCTTCCGGTTGTTTTTAAACACATGGTTTGCTGAACACATGGCAATCTTGAGAAACAATGTCCTAGGTAATTTTTTTCGAAATTGTCCGAAAAATGTCCCATTGGACCAAAAGCCTGATTGTCCAACAGCCAAAAACAGACAGCCATTGCTCTGAAGACCCATTGCTCTGAAAATACCAATCTGGTAAAAATTACGTATCATATTTACTTGCATCACACACATAACTTAATTACGCCATTTTAACCCAAATCATGATCTTTCCCTTAACCTAACAAGTAGTTGTGTTGCCTTAAGCTAAAAAACTGTGACTTTTTCACGTTAAACACTTGTTTATTATTGTTACCATGACAAAGAAGCTCATCTAGCAATGGCAATGAAGGTTACATTTGCACATCAAATCATACACAAAGTTACTAATGGCAAAAATTAGGGCCTTGTAGTAGTGAGCTTTTCTTTTTGGAATAACGGTCCAATGGGACATTTTTCAGACTACCATGGTTTTGGAATAATGGTCCGTCAGAACAATGCACAGTCCCCAAAAACAAAGGTGTTCCACTCCTTAAAGATCATTTGGTGTAGTTTTCGTGGACATATTAGTTGCGCTTTGTTGACTGACAGAAACATGCTTCTTTAACCTTGGGAAACGCTTCACCAGCAGCTGTCTGAAATAGCTCTGGAACTTTCTCCCAACAAATGTGTAAAACATGGGACTGATGCAAAAGTAAATGTAGGCCAGATTACGAGTGACATGAAGAGCATAACCCCATTTCTGAGCTGATGCACAGCTAGTGACTTTATCGTGCATCAACAGTACAATGTTGTATGGGGTCCAGCACACAAAAAACAACAGCACAATGATGAATATTAACCTGACTGTCTTGAACTTGGTAACTATCCTGGATGATATGACAGTGATAGCAATCCTAATATAGCAGTAGACAATCACAGCCAGAGGAAATATCAAGAAAAGGAAAAGCTGAATGTAAAATCCAGATGTTCTCAGTTGCTGCACATTAATATTAGACAATTCAGTAGGATACTCCTCACAGTAGGTTTTGTTGTCAATTAAATGAACAAAGGTGGTGTGGAGAATCATCTGCTTGATGCACGCCAGTCCGCTGACCAGCCACACCACAATACAGGAGACTACCGCATAGCTTTGATTCCTAAGCCGCGATGAGCCCAAGGAGTACACGACTGCTAGGTGTCGGTCGAAGGTCAGCAGAGTTAGAAAGAGTACAGAACTGTAGAAACCCAGGTAGTAGACGCTGCCAACAATCTTGCACATGACCTTGCCAAAGATCCAGTTGGAGAGCTGCATGTAGACTCCAACGAAGGGAAGGCTGCTCATGAAGATCAGTGAGGACACCACCAGATTCAGCAGTAAGATGTTGGTCACAGTGGTCAACTTCTCAAACCTAGGAGGTGATCATTTAAACAGTTAGATGGAGAGCAAAAATAAAAACGCTTGGATCAACACAAGCATTTCTGACAGTAAAGTTTTCAAACTTTAGGTGGTTCCAGTGGAATCCCTGCATCTGTGGTCGGTCGACAAAAATAACCTTTGAAATCAGTTTGACACTTGGAGTGGTGGTCATACTAATGAAGCTCTGCGTAAGTTAAAGCAGGAAGACCTTCTCATCAAGCCTCTTCCATTCACCATTATCTCATGCTCCTTTCTAATTAGCTATTTAGAGTGCGTTTACTCTTTCAGTTAATCCAGTCAGATTTACCCACAATGTCCTCCAGCCAATCATGTTGCTGCTGTCGACCTTTAAATCTGTTCTCCTCTCTGCTGCTTCCAGCTGTCATTTCATTTCAAGAATTTTTCTCATCTTCATTGTGCACATATCAATTAAATATATTGTTCATTCAAAAAGTAAGTCTCTCCTGATTAAAATGGAAATATACAAAATAAAGGAAGTTCTGGTTTTAGATCATTCAACTTTCTACAATTCTTTCTGTTCTGTTTTGTTGTGGTGGTTATAGGTGTGCTAGCTTGTTGACACTGTCAATGTGTGACAATATCCTAACATTGTACCTTAATACCAGACTGTCCTCTCAAGAAAAATGACAACATCAGTCTTTTCAGCAAGTGCCCCAAAACACGTGTTTACCCTAAAGTGACAAAGACTTTGGATGGTGGCTGGAGTGGAGGGAGCAAATGAGGCAGTCAGGTGATATTATCATAGGAGGAAGGCCAGGATGGACCGGTGGGTCAACAAATATTAAACTTGAACATGGGAGACCACTGTTAGTTTTTTAGACAGCCAACATGACCACTAATCATTAACCTTAACCAAGTGTTTATTATTGTAACCACGACAACAAAGGTTGTCAAAGTTATTTGATGAGTGATTTGTGGTTTTAATTTGACTTTTTTTTTAAATGGTGTTATGACTGAGGATTATCATTACATTTTTGTTACCGAGGATCGCTTACCTCTATATTGTTCAGCCCTAAGGAAAATAATCACATATAATGCATACTGCATATTTTAGGTCTGAAATGGAAGACAACAAAGAGACGCAGGAAGCAAACATCCCCAGCTTTTGTGAATCAAAGTCCTGATTCTAATGCATCAAGGAATAATAGATATTTATTTAATTCCACTTTAATTTTGCCTATGGTTGAAAAGCAGCACTGTTGAGCTAAGCTTTGTGAATAACGGAAATTATGCCAGTTTAGAGTTTTCCGTTGTAATTTCTGAGCTATGAATGGTACCATAGAAATTGATCTTTACTTTCCTTGAGCTTTCAACCTGTCAGCCACCCTGACATAGCAACCCCCTACAATATACTGCATTATAAACACTCCTTTCAGTCCATGGCCCAGGGAGACTTGCTGAGCTCATCTCTGACATTGTCATTTGTGTTCCCATGAACACCAAAAATATTTTCACATTTGCTTGCTCACAAAGGTAGGGAGCAACGGAGACAAGGGTAGAGAGAGGAGAGTCGGTAGACAGTGACAGAGGAGAGGTAACTCTTAGGGGGCTTAGAGAGGGGAACTTTACCTACTAAACAACTACTGTATTCCTCTCGGTGGGCTCAAGTGTAAGAAGCTCCTAGTACGACTTCATCTTATAGTCTGCCTGTGTGTCTTTTTTTCTGACAACCTCATGACATGATCTGCAGTCAAATCCACCGGTTCCCCAAATGGTCTAGAGCTGAAGCCTGTCATAGAGCTGCGCTGTCCATTCTGCCTCCCACACGTCAGAATCAAATAAAGCAAGTGGACTAAAATCTCTCTATAGATTTTTTTGGCTAAAGGAGTGGACAATATGGATAAAATTGATGTAATTTTACACTGTACACTGATGTGCTGTAATAAACCCTACCTTTATGAAGGTGTTCAGTTCTGCTGACAAGGTGTTGATTCAGTTTTATGGTCATTTTGAGGATGTAGTTTGTGGTGCTGTTGAATTATATTGTATTATACTGATGAGTGTTTGTTTGACTATAATGGGGCTTCATTTGCATTAAAAATAGAGAATTGTAAAAACATCTACCTCATGCCACATACTTTAACAAATTAAGAATTATTGTTCTCAGCAATTAACATTTGAAGTTTAATTTAAGTATACTCATGATATTAAACCAGATTTTTTTCAATAATAGCCTTTAAGTATATTTCCATTCTGTAATTACCTCTCTCTACAGTCGTTTTCATTGTTAGTGTCAGGGTCCGTCATTTCCACACAGGATTTACAGTGGTTTTACACCCATAATTCATAGGAAACAATGCAACATGTAATTTGCCGTTGTTGTTTACTCTCCCATAACCATGTCAGGGCTGTGTTAGCTTACTGCCAATATAACATACCTACTGCTGCTCTTTCACATTTAAAGTATTAAACGGGTTAAACATGGGGTGGCTTTTATTGTTAAAATCCCACAGGAAACACAACATATGTGACGCTCCCCCACAAAAAGAAGGGGGTGGGGGAGCGCCCCTTTGTTGAAAAAACCCATTATAAAAAAAAAAAAAAAATTAGGAAATTTTAAATTTTTAAAATTTTTAAAAAAAAAAAAAAACAAAAAAAAAAAAAAAAAAAAAAAAAAAAAAAAAAAAAAAAAAAAAAAAAAAAAAAAAAAAAAAAAAAAAAAAAAAAGAAAAAAAAAAAAAAAAACCAAAAAATTTGATAAAATTACATCTCCCAACAACTATAAATTAAAAAAAAAAAAAAAAAAAAAAAAAAAAAAAAAAAAAAAAAAAAAAAAAAAAAAAAAAAAAAAAAAAAAAAAAAAAAAAAAAAAAAAAAAAAAATAAAAAAAAAAAAATAAAAAAAAAAAAAACAAAAAAAAAAAAAACTATTAAGAACAAAAAAACCAACCCCCAAAGGAAAGGAAAAGGGGGGGAAAGGAAGAGGGACCGGAACCCACGCGCCACCCGCGGCCCCCCCCCCCGACCCGGCCGCCCCAAAAAGGGGGGGGGAAAAGAAGAGGGGGGAAAAAGGAGGAGGAAAAACAAACACCAAAAACAAAACCAAAAGAAAAAATAAAAAAAAAAAAAAAAAAAAAAAAAAAAAAAAAAAAAAAAAAAAAAAAATAAAAAAAAAAAAAAAAAAAAAAAAAAAAAATTAAAAAAAAATAAAAAAAAATTTAAATTGATAGAAAAAAATAAAATTACTTTAAAAAAAAAAAAAGGAAAAAAAAAAAAAAGAAGGAGAAGGAAAAAAAAAAAAAAAAAAAAAAAAAAAAAAAAAAAAAAAAAAAAAAAAAAAAAAATAAACTATAAAAAAAAAAAAAAAAAAAAAAAAAAAAAAATAAAAAAAAAAAAAAAAAAATTGTCCATGAGGTAAGTGCTGACCACAGCTAACTCGAAGAAGCAAGCCACAGTGAACTAGTGCTGGTCAAAAATAAACAATTATTTTTGTTAATATAATATTTTGGCCAGGTTTGATTCAGATGGACGCTGAAAAAAGCTTTCACCATCTCCTGCCTACTGTGCTTTTAAATGTTACAAAACTCACTGCCAGCGATATAAATGGAAGCAATACGACCTCAAACAGTGTTACAAACAGCTCTACAAGCTGTGTGACAAAATGTAACTTACTTAAAGGTTGACTCGACATGGCTCGACTTGGCTGCTACTGATATGAGCTCTTGTACTTTCTTACTTCTGTACCACTCTGTACCAGAGTCAGATAGTAGACTCAGTGCGTGCTAGCTTTACTATTCCAGCTGCCTGCCAACTGCTGCAGTTTGGTTCATAGGTAGACAAGTGGTCTGTTAGTGTTTTGCATTTTGATTGAAGTAGGCTACTTATCATCTCCAGGTCATCACTTTTTTCTGCTACTGTTACGCTAGAACATACATGTAGCAAACAATTGTTAATACCTCTTACTTTCAGCTGTATTTAGAACACAGCTTCATATTTTGGGAGGATAATGAAGCATGTTGCTTTACTTCCACTCGAGACCCACACAGAGGCTGATCTAGAGAAATATCCATGGACGCAATATATGCTGAATTAATTGCAAACAATCACATACATCAATAGTTATATAATATAGTTAAATGAAGATATTTGAACTTAAAAACATTACATTATTGTGGCACATTGGTAAAGCACTAAATAGACAGTCGGTAGAACTGGCGACCCATGTACGGAGTTGCTGCAGTGGCCCTTTGCCGTGTGTCATCCCCTCTCTCTCTGCCCCCCTTTCCTGTCTATCTTTGGCTGTCACTATCAAATAAAGGCAATAAAAGGCCAAAAAATTAAATAATAATAATAATAATTTTTTCATTCAACTTAGTCTAAAACGTTGTCATAACAGATCATTAAATTCATTTCCAGCCATTTTTTTATACCACCCATCTATGCGTTTCAATTACTTAACAACTATTCACCTGTTGGGCTGCGTAGTAAACACATACAGCTGCTGCTCTTTTGTTGTATTTCTGTCAACGTAGCTGCTCAAGGGCTGTTTGCTGTAGCATTAATCTGCACTTGTTGTTACCACCAGTAACCATGGGTGTTGCCAAATCAACCAGGATTGAAATGTTAACGATTATAACAATTCATACCTAGTAAAAAAATCATTCAGTTATACTCTAAATTAGGTGTATTTATGTATTCCAGAAAGTTTCAGATGAGGGCCATCCATACACTTGCTACCCCTAACTGCTATAACTAAACTGCAAGACCAAAACTTTGTTTGTATTGTACTCTTTTTAAAACCCCTCTGCAGTGCATGCTCAGGGTTTTCATTTGGGATGATGTGTCGGACCACTCACCGATAGATGATGACCAGGACCAGCCCATTGCCAAAGAGGCTGAAGAGAAACATAAAGTAGAAGATGATGGACAGATGAGCTCCCAGCTGGTTGTCACTGTCCCTGTTACATGGTGCGACAGGGGTGTGAGGGTCATCGGTGTAATCGTAATCATACGTTGTAGTTTCCATCATGGTCTCAGATGTAAGCAGGAAAATCTGTCGGAAACAATAAATGCAGCTATCAGACACAGCGTTCACAACACGATGCAGTCAGTGTGAATCTGAAACTATAAAATGATTAATGTATGAGACATTTTAAACAGCTTTTAAGTATAGGCGCTATTTTCTGCATGCAAGCTCCTGTAAGACATGCAAATGAGGAGAGTACAACGCAAAACGTCTTTGACCGAGAACCTCGGAGGAGAGAGGGAAATAAAAGCAGATGTTTGTGGGAATGAAAAGCACTAAGTTGAGCTGACTTACCGCCTGGACAGCAGAGAGGAATCTGACTCTGAAGGCCACAGCTGTCTGACTCACAGCAAATTCAAGTCATGCCATGATAAGTCAACCAGCGAGGGGAAGGAAGTAGGTTACCACAGAAGGGTGTGTGTGAGGGAGTGTGTATAAGGGGGAGGGATTGGCTGAAAACATAGCATATCATAGCAACACTCCCTCTGAATTATCCCCTCTGGGCTACATATGAGACTGTAAAGCTGTGTTCGCAATAATAAACACTTGGTTAAGGTTAATGATTAGTGGTCATGTTGGCTGTCTAAAAAACTAACAGTGGTCTCCCATAAGTGCGTCTGTGTACATTACGTAATGAAATTTAAATCACATTTGAGTAACAGGAACCACCATCTTGATGTTGGAATAGTTCTGAGCTAGAGGAGTCAACGCCATGAAGTCAGAGATGTTAGGATCTTGAAACATTGGCGGTCCAGTGTGTAACATTTAGGAGGATCTATTGGCAGAAATTGAATATAATATTCATAGGTATTGTTGTGTTTTCATTACCTTAGAATAAGGTTTTATCTACAGAAGGAACGGTCCTCTTCTACGGAGTCGGCCATGTTGGACAAACCAAACACTGGCTCTAGATGGGGCCTTTGATGCCGTTTTATGCAAGTTTTGATAAGAGTTTGTAACGATGTCAATATGGATTCTGCCAGTCCATATGCCTTTTAGATTTCTGATTCATGTTCTGTGTGGAAATTGTGCCTACACAGGTTTTAGACATCAATGCAACCGTTTTTATATCTCTGAGTCTGAACACAGTGTAGACAACGAGTAGAATTAAAGTAGTTTGAGTTTCTTTTTGAACTGAAGTCACATTCTGGACTGTTTCTTCCTCTCCGTCGTCACTCCTCGTTGCAAGTTTCCAGCAGTGTAGACACAAGAGTTTGACATCATTGTTTTTTTACTGTCAGAACACAATGCTGGAATTGATAAAAGGTATTGATAAGCTCGTGGATCGGATAATTTGGACCTGGTTCTCAACTGAAACTATAGTTCTTGATTCCCTTCCCTGTATACGATGTGACTGTGCTCCACCAGCTGTGTACAGTAGGCTGGCTTTCACAACATGAAATCATGATATTTTCAGCTGCAGGAGTAAAACCCTAAAAACACATAAGAGCCTTGGCATTGATGAAGCGTGCTAGATTGTGTGTTGCCAAAGCTTTGTTCAGATTTGAAATTGACCAGCCTCATAGCTTCTGTTTCTACTGCGAGAGGGCTCCTTTTGAAACTCTGTTAACTCTGTCTTATCTTTGATTCTCTGCTCTTCTTCACCTCTCCAGTACCTCTTCTTGAGTCTCATCTGTCTGTCGCCCTCCTCACCTCTTTTCCTCTAAAAGCTCCACCATCTTGTAGCTTGAAGATGAGGAAACCTCACAACCTGACTCATCTGCTGCTACAGCAACTGGAGATAACTCTTCCTCCACCTCCTCAAGCCCCGCCAGCCCCTCCTTGCCTTCATCCTTTTTCTTTTTGAAAAGGCTTCCTATGTCTTTCTTCAAGTCTTGCCTTTGTGAATTAGCTAGCTAGCTTCCACCAGATGCCAACAATGACAAGCCCTGTAACTGGCAGCACCCTCGGAAATGTTTCATCTGGGTGGCCAGCTGGGACTTGGTTTTTCATAACAAATGTAAAATATCAATGTATTGTACATTAGTTTAAAGCTGCAGTAGGTCATTTTTATTAAAAACATGTTTTTGTAATATTTGCTTAAACTTTCACTATATCCTGACAGTAGTACATGAGACAGATAATTATTTCACAGATAAACTGTCTCATGTTTTACTGTCAGTAAATAGTTAAAGGTTCAGCAAATATGACAAAAAGGTTTTATTAAAGTAACTTACTGCAGCTTTAATAAACAGTGATTTAATTTCAAGTCAGTATACATTGATTTAAATTAATAGTATCACACATAAGGAGCATATTATGCATACAGTACTGATTACTCAGAAGCATATTATAATTATATAATTAGATCCAGGGCTATTCATTAAATATTCAGGGCTTTAGTCTCGGGTTGCCCAGGCCTAACAACCCCACTGCAGAAGACCAGAGACAAAATTGTCAAGCATGTTTGATAAAGATGCTACTAAGATGCTGATAATGATACTCCAGCAACCAGTGAGACTTGGAACAAAGGAATATATAAAATCCGGTTTAAGCAACAGATGCATGACCTTTAAGGCCAAAACACTGCAAAGCAGTTCTGAGACAACCCAGGAAATCAATTATTTTTATCCTCAGTCTTGAAGATTGATCATCTGACAGCAGATTACAAAGTAATATCTGGGTAAATTATAAAGTAATCTAATGCGTTGTAGATTAATACCTCTAATGAATGCAGTATGAGATCAGCAGGACTGTTATACCGCTCACTAGATGTAAGCTATTGGATAGTCTTGACCAATATTAGTTTGGCATCATTGAAATTGGCTGCATGTAGGTGTGTCCACATTAACTAAATGACTCTTGTAAAACTTTACAGCTCTGTCTGTATGTTACAGATGAGCATTATGCTGAGTGGAAATTTTACTGTTAATAAATGATTTAAGATTTATAGACCGAAGAGTACAGCTCTGTATAATGCTGGTATCTTCACAATATTCCTATGTTTGGAACAAGGTTAAACTGACTTTACAATGACCTTAACATATATTTTTTTGTGTATTTTGTAATATATATGTTATCACAAAAATGACAAACTTTAACTTTATCTTTACTTTACTTACAAACAGTAATTCATACTTTCGGTATCCTTACTGAAGTTTGGTTTATTCTTCTCCTACCAAATATGTTGTATTTCTACAGTTATGTGTCATTTTACTTTTTAGCAGTTTGTTGCAATCTGTGCTTACTATTCACCCAAATACTTCTCATTTATACCCCAAAGATTTGATATCAGTCAAATAAAAGTATGTTATTGTTAACAACTTACATACAGCCGTAACAGTTAGATTAGTTTATCCAAACAATTTCATAATGAATTCATTGTAAATTGTCATACGCCTGCTATTTTGACAAGTAAGTTAGTAAATTGCTTCTCTCTGATGGTCGTTACGTAGGTCATATAGAGGCATCAGTATTAAACTGAGACTGTATTATATCCAGTCAAAAACTTCAGTCCAGTACAAAAGTAGCAACATAAACAAATAAGGCCCTCTTAATGCCTGCCACTGGGACGTTTTTGGTCAGATTCCCCTTGAAATCATGAAGTGAGGCGGTGAAAAAACAACCCATTTTACCAGAATCAACACAAAATAAAAGTTCCATGCTCCTGCTTTAAGTACAGTACTTCTACCACTGCAGAGTGTGTATTTTGGTAAATTATATTTCACAGGGTGTGTCCTCCCCTTTCCCACATTTAAGATGTGTCACACTGCAGTTGCTAAACACTTACTGTAAGAAAATTAGACATACAGCATAATGGGTAATTGTGCAGGGGATTCAGTCGTAGTCAGCTGCTGTAAAGAGCCCTTTTTGAATAAAATATTAATAAAAGCGAGAAACGGTTGTTGAATTGAGAAAGTCAGCAGCAGACCTGACAGTGACAGGCTGAAACTGACACCCGGGGGAGTTTTGAATCAAGCGTGAGGACCATTTTAAAAATGGCACAAGAATGACCAGAAATTGGGTCCTTTGAAGTCGTGATGGCTTTCTCTCTGCAATTTCTTGTCCTCTGCCCATTTTTTCATGTGTGATCATTGCCTTTAAGAACCCCAGCAGAGCTAACAGGAAGACACTTGACAGCCAGAGTCATTGTGGTAAATCAGCTCACTGATATGTTCAATGTTGCTGCTCTGACCAACAATCCCATCTCATAGGACAAAAAGAGCCACAGCCTTTTTCATTGGCAAAGCTTTTCTTCTTCCCAGTATTCTTCCTGGAAAGACAGAAATTCCAAGTTAAAAAAAAGTTTTTTTTCCAAGTATCAGAAATCAGTTCTTGTAACCATCTTTGGAAACAACCTGGAATTGCTTTCATGAGGATGTGTCTGATGTCTTTGAGAATCCATTTTTTGGCAAGCAGTTTTCCTACCATCAAACCTGATTGTGTATGAGAGGGAAGTGCTAGCCGTGCATCCAAAAATGGATTCCATAGAGAGGCTTAGTTTGTTTAATTGCTTGGTTTGGGCTACACAAAATGAGTCTAGCGTTGGAACATCCCAAAATAAATGCAACAGGCTTACATCTTGTGTTTATCTTCAGTGGAAATTGCATTCAGCACAAAAACTTTTTTTTATTTCAGTGTGTGTCTTCAGGGTTCCCACAGGTCCTGGAAATCTGGACATTAAGAGACTAGTTTTCCAGTCATGGAAACACCTGGAGATTGAATTAAATGACCAAGTATCCTGGAAATGTTGTCCTGGAATATTTTAATAGTATTTAGTGCTGTGGCCAAATTAATGTTAGAGTTAGAGAAAACTGTAGTCAGTTCAGAAAAATCATCAATAAATGAAGAGAAATAGAAAAATAAATTATGTAAACAGGCAAACCAAAAACATCTGAGCATACCCAAAAATGCATCAACACTCAGTCGAGCATGGTGCAGTTAACGGGGAGAACAATAGTTAATGTATTTTTTGCAATCAGCAGTGAAGCTCCAAAAAATGATCTGAGAAGAAATGCAGTGACGGTGTGTTACAGAGCCACATTCTATTTTTAAGTGAGCAAAATTCTTCCTGCACACTGACATTTCAGTTTCCTGACTAGAATGTTCATCATTATTGTCCCAAAATGCAGTGCTTGCACCATTTGTGTATCGATGTGTCACTCTGTGCACAATTTATGTATGTTTATATCATACACTGTATACAGTTCACATAAACACTCTCATCAGGGAGCTGTGTTTATGAAGATGCAAACCACATGGGACACTTTTTATTTTGTTTACTTTTTGGCTTTTAAAATAAATCCTCATCATAGAAATGATACAGGGGGTTTTTAAGTATTTTCGTCACTCAGAGAGTATTTCATGCAAATAATATTATTGAACTAAATGAACTGCTCACAAAGGAGCTTTTACACCTGCAGTTCATCTTCTGAGCTACAAGGGACCCTGGGAAAAAGGGATGGTGTTGCCTTTTAGTTCTAGTCCAGTTCCTGTTTACACTGAATTATTATTTGTTTAAACCAAGGGGAGTGAACCTGATGTCATACAGGCAGACGGGTATGACACAGATCGGACAGTGTGTGAGAGTGTGATGAGCCTCTTTATGGGATCTAGTACAGTAAAATCTACTTGATTTGTTTGCATTCAGTTTATCCTCAGAATATTTATGTTATGTGTAATTTTTTAAATAAATTTAAACTTTTGATTTCATATATTTCAGTTACATCTGATGTAAAAATAATGCTTCATGTTTATGAGGACAGAGAATCATTTTCTTGAGTGTGTATCATCACAGCTACAGAGACTCATGTGGGGAACTTCCAGTGACTTCTGATTTGCTCACAACTAATTATTTTGCATTAATTGACCGCAGATTGACTGTATGTTAAATTATATGTCACCTCTTAGTGGACATAATTAAGTGCTAAAGTGTACGGAGGATACAAGTTTAACAGACTTAAGGTTTATCCGCTTGGGGCTGTCTGATGATCAGAGGAAGTATGTGCATGTGTTACCACAGTTACAAATATACATCGCTTCATGAATAGTTCACAGTCAGTAGATGATTTAATAGCACTTATAATGCCACATGTTGTTTGGTCTAGGGTTTAGATAACAATTTTCATACCAGCTCAAATCGAGAGTACTGAAGCAACAGATTATTATTATTATCTTTGTGTTTTTGTGTTGTAGAGCACAGAACCTTTTATAGTGTCTAATCCACTGCCAGGACCAAGGAAGTCAGCGTGTGTCAAACTATATATTCCTTAAAAAAAATAAACAAAGAGTGGACTTGTATGACAGCTCCCTTTAAATAAAGCCATCCAAAGTTGTATGCATATTTCATCCAAACCCTGTGCTGACAGAAATATTACTCATGAAAAATTTAAATCAAGAAGTCGGTGAAACGTTGGTGTTACATAATTATGGTTTATTTAATATAAAATAATTTTACAACCAAACTAATAATGCAATGCATTTGCAAAATGTACAAAATATATATAAAAATACTATTGTAAACATTGCCTTTTTTTCTGCATTTACATATATGAGACATAATATTAACTTTGAAAAGGTTATGAATAGTTGCATCTTGGAATATATTGCAAATACAGAGCACAGACAACACAATGCAAACAAACGCTAATCAAGGATGTAATTAGTGTGTTTTCACAAAGTCTTCTTTGCTTAACCCTTGTAATTTTAAATAATAAAACGATTCACAACTTGAACAGGAAATAGACTGCATCTGCAGTGAAGATGTTGCAGATACGCTAATGCCGTGTATAGAAGGTGTCAGTACTCAAATGTCAGATAACCCAAAAAATATCTAAAAATACCAGTGGTGTGTTACAATGAAACTACAGCTGCACATTTCAACACACAATTCAATGTGACACTGTTCTCATCAGAAAACAGGAACTTACTCAGAAGCAAAAGAAGAAATAGTGTGACAATGACATACTGCAAAAAGCCATAGGAAAGAGAGGACAACATATGTGACTTTGATGCCGGAGACCTCTTCCTATCTGCCACCACAAAAGTCTGTGTTGATATACCCAAACTTAGCTGAGTATTCTAAGAGCGTCTTTATCCGACCACTAGCTGATATACCAATTGCCAGGGCAGCAAAAGGTTTAGGCTGATAAAGCACTTGGTTAAAGGGTTGCTCCAGCGATATAGGACTGTATTTCATACAGTTGGGGAGCTCATAAAAGGCAGATTAAACAGAGAGCAGTGAAAACTGAAGCAGCAGTTCAAAGTTCAAAAGACCCCACTAAAAGATAAAAAAAAGACCTATACTATTCTCCTCCTCCAAGTCGAGATATGGCCCATAATGCATCTAAAAGTACATCCCTTTACTATGCCTCCCAAATGCCTCACTTCTTTCAAACTCCACACCTCCAGTTTGCAACTAACACAAGGTTGCTGTTATCAGTTTCAAGTCTCAAGCCAAGGCCGAGGTAACCCTGATTATATCATGGTTGTTTTAACTTTGATAAACTCCTTTCAGAGCCACAGAAGATGACAGCATTTGTTTAATGTAAAATATAAACCCTTTATCATTATGTTGGTACAGCACAGCGTTTCCTGTAAATCTGATATGTTTGCCAATGCAATTTCGCAGGTTGGGATCAATAAAGTATATCTATCTATCTATCTATCTATCTATCTATCTATCTATCTATCTATCAATGCAAATTAATGATATATTAACATTATTTTTTAAGGGGATAGGGTTACCTCCTGGCATTCCCATTAGTCCAATATTTCTATTTTCATATAAAGTTGTCAAAATATAACTGGAAGAAGTCATAGAATTCAACTTAATATAAAAATTTTTTTATCACATCCATGGTCCCTATGACTGACAACTTACTAACATCTAAGGCAAATTTACACAACTGGAAAGTCTCCGGATAGCAAATTGTAGGGCTGCCTCCTAATAGCCGACTTGACCATTAGTTGATGTGAAGATTCTTAGTTGACGCACTTTTGATTAGTCGGATACTCACAGAAAAACAATATCAAACTCCACTCGGGGGCTGCACCTTGTCACTGGGGGACTTAAGTTTCAGAGGATTGTTGCAACACGGATCTTTTCTCTTGTACACAGGGAGTCACTGTTGCATATGCTAACTGTACTAGCTGCTGCCACTAGTAAGTCAGCGGTCTTATTACCTGACTGTACCCGGACTGGCAGCTCAAAGGACAGGGGGAGTTTAAACACTACTACACTGGCTGGGAGCAAAGCTGGAATGACAGTACTGGAGCCAGGTAGACCAACGGAGGCCAGCTGATTTCCAGCGGCTCAGACCAGGACTCTGCTCTGATTCTGGACCAGAAGACACGGCAGCGGCAGGAGAGGCGCGAAACGGAGTGGGAGGAGTGAGTTTGTAGCAAGTTAATTTGTAAGTAACTGTTAAAGTTATCCACCATCCCTCGCATTGATAAGTCTGGCAGTGTTTGTTTTTGTGAATTTGGAAGTTCTTTATTCCGTGTTTTGAACAGCGAGACTGTGTGATGTTATACTGTGGTGAAATTAATGAACTACATTCAGAATCAATTTCTGTTAGCTGTATATATATATATATATATATATATATATATATATATATATACACACACACATATAATTAATGTCATAAATTGGCTTTATCTAATGATCTACTAGTAGAATCAAAGTTGGGGGCAGCCTTAGCAAAATCATCAATATGTTGTTTGTTTCATGAAACCATTTAGTAGTGTGGGATGTGATAAACAATGCTGTCTCTAGAGGCTGCTAGCTATAGCTTTAGAATAGATTTTTGCTGGTAACACAACATTAAAATGATATAATGGTGCTAAATAAGAAGTAAAAAGGCTGGAAGCTAAAGGCACAATTTGGCAACATACAGAAAACTTATGTGATATCTTCATACAGTAAAATCACATTTTTATCAAAAGAAAAGCAAAAATAACAATAGTAATAAATAGTAGGACAGTCAGTCTAAAATCCTTACTCTTCCAGCAGGACTGTTGGCTTAATGCACACCTGAATTCTTCCTATTTCTGAAGACTTATCCATATACCGAGGCTAGCTACTCTTACAGCAGTGATACCTGCCAAGCTTACTTTGACAAGTCCAAATTTACAGTTTTAGAGCAACAGACAACGGTTTGGAAACTGGCATCCTGAAGTCTGAACCCCAGAGAGAGGTACTAACCCGTTTGTCACACCTCAAGGCATTTGGAAAGGTTCCAAAGTCTCTGAAAGAGTTTTCTGATGACATGTTTGTCTTATCAGTCCTAACCATACATGGAATTTTAAGTCTGTCTTCTTGGGAAACTGGGACAGGAGCCATCTCCCATAAAGCTACCAACACTTTATGTAAATAGCTATGGAAATACAGTCTTCTGAATTTGTGTCAAAAAACAAACATGTCTTGTTCCTTGCAAACACATTGTTTTACTGCTTCTTCCTGTAATTGAGTGCTTATTGCTTTTTGTCTGTGAGAGCTAATATGATGCCTGTAGCGGCTTATTGTTGCTAAATCCCTCTATATCGCTCTATATCATCGTCATTTCTCCACATAGCTGGTGTGACTGAACACACGGCTGTTCTATCCTGTATAGGCTTCCCCCTTTAAGGCTATCGCTAGTGGGTTTATCTCTCGTTGGTGCAGCACTGAAGACGTCCATATATGACATGACATGAACAGACATGACATGGGCCCTACCTTGGTCTGACCTTGTGCGTAAATTGGACTAAGACCAGACGTTCAACTTCGCCACAAAGAGCAACTGACTAGACTTCAAAGATGTGTTCCAGTGGTGTCTGAATTTGTCCAGCGTGCTAGACTGACTACATTATAGATTTCAACCTGCCCACTGTGAGCTGTGCCTAGCCCTCACGCCTCAAGCCACGTGTATACTGTGCCTTATTCAGGCCGAGAAGCACCCCAGAATACATAAATAGCGAGTTTCTCTTGCCCAAGTTACCAGATGTTGCCTCTTTTTCCAGCCATCAAGAAGTACCAGACTGCAGTGGCGGTGGAGCCCTGAAACTGATGGTACCTGCTCCCTTTGAGCCAAACTTGACATCGTTTTTTGGGGTAAAACAAACTACAAAGACGGTTAGACGATGGCTGGCTCTACCCTCCACCAGAGACCAGATGACTGCCAGGGTCACCTTTCATCGGTGCACCTTCCAGGTGGCCATGACAAGACTGGCTGCTCAGCCAGATGTTATGCGTCCTGAAGATTGATCCTGATTTATCAAGGCTTCCAGCGCCATTCTGGCCCTGTGTGCCTCCATCACTATCTCTACTGCAAGGATCGCAGTGTGGCAGACAATGATCCACTGGGATTTCTGGTTGCACCTTTCTTCCATCCCAGACACAGCGAGAAGGGAGTTTTTGGACACCCCCATCTGCCCAGGTGGGCTGTTTAGGCGTCATTTCCACTCAGTGCTGAGAAATGACAGTGGAAAACATTTACACTGCAGCTTCCTGGTCTTCCCCCTGTTCTCTCATTTGTTTCTATCTGTGGGATGTCTGTTGTTTTTCTATGACTCACTCTGTCTTGAGAATTTTGTCAGAGTGATTGTTATTTGGGGTGCTTTAACTGGGTGCTCTCCCTCATGCTTTTGGCACACGGAGAGCTGTTTCTCTCCTACACTGCTCTTTGCTGTTCATTTCCAGTTTCATTCCCTCATGGTGATATTGCACTGTTTCTATGCCATCTGCGCATATGATGTACTGTGATGTGCAATTAGATTATGACACGTTGGCGAGGTATGGACTGGTTATTGATTCTCGTGAAGTGGGTGTGTGTTGGTGCTTGTGGGAGTTAAGGTCTTCAGTGGGGTGCGAGCGAGGGATAAACCCACTTGCAATAGAAGGCTGTGCCTATATTTGTAAATCTGGAAACTAACGCTCTGTGATTAACACTTGCTGAGTAAATTGATTTTGGATGGACTATAGAATGGAGACCGTAGTTTTAATTATCCAACTAGCTTAGCATGAAATTGTTAACATGCTCTGCAAATTTTAAAAACACTGATAGACAATTGTAAAAGTAATCCATCCAGTCACATTGTGGGTCTACTGTATAACTTCACACTATTTAATCAGCATATTCCATATAGCCAATGTTACATTTTTTAATATTTTAACATTTCTGTTGAGCACAACTTTCTTAAAAGAGCTTAGTTTGGTCATTAAAATGGTATACCATAAATTCTCAAATAAAAACCAGCATTTAAATCATGGAACATGCTCACCACTCTGCTGCTCTAAGTTCCTCCTTTTCATTCACTAATTATTTCCAATCGATTCAACGCTGCCGTTTTTCCATGTGTGGTTGGTTTATTGTCAGTGAAACTCAATACTTCCTGCAGATGTTTCAAATTAAAAGCTTACCAGGAACGTGATAGATTAAGCCCTTTGAGGCGCTGGGAGGATTTTAATGTAAAAAAACCAGTGTCGGTATTGTGAATGTATAGTTTGAAATCAAATTAAAATTAAAAAGCAGCAATTAGTACTATGAAAATTAAATTACAATGAAGTTATCAGAACAGGTAGAGTGGACATTTTGGCTTTGCAACAATAAACAGCATCACCAGCAAATTAAAAAGGGAGCATATCAAGAAACAGGGAGGCGTCTTACTTAAATAAGGTCAAATAGGCTTAACTAAATGGAGGAATTGGAAATCTAGGCCTGTCAGTAATATAACTCTGCATAAATCTGCAGTTGAGGTAAATAAAGGCCACTATTTGAGAATTTATGGTAATCCACACAGATAGAAAAGCAATGCAAAATAAGGTCATTTAATATTGGTAAACAAGAAAACAAATATGATAGGTACAAACAGACAGTGACAGGATTCTTACAACCCTCTGTGTCACAGTGATGGACAAGCACAAACCGTAGTGCTCCGTTCACAATAGGTGGTAGAAATATGTTTTTCCACCAGCAGGGATTACATGTTGTGGTTGGAGTGATTTCAACTAAGAGTTTTTCTCATTTATTCATGAACTTTGTATTTTTTATTTTTTTGTTCTTATCTTTGACCAAACAGCCTAACTGTTAACTAACCTTTCACAAGACAGTCATGTGAAAATGCCCAGTTCTTACATTGTGACGTAAACCAATTCATTTCTCCGAGGCAGCGCTGCACTGAGGGCAGGAATAACCTCGCTGGTTGATATAAAGCTTTGGTGAAGCAGAGAGAAGCACATCTTTCAAGCACAGCATGAAAGCGGATTCTTGTTCCACTTCTGTTGATCATATGCAGTTTTTTATCATAGTCTGGAATAAATTAATAATTAGAAAATAATTGCTTGGTCTACTTGAATTTTGCTTGGTCTCAGATCTCAGATCAAGCTAGTATCTTTTTTGCAACATTAGCCCACAGAGGAAAACTCTTCTTTAGCTTTATTAAAATGCATTAAGACATTCTCATTTATATTTTAGACGTTTTGTTGAGGAAATCTGTCCTGTCTGTCTCCTGTTTGGCGTGTTGCGTTTAAAATTTGATCAGGCTGCTGGTGAGGTTAGCTAGCATCCTGTCTTGCTAGCAAAGCCTTCAGTAATGTTGCCTTAAACATAAAGAGTAACTCACATATAAGAGGAGGTAGCTATTTCAAATATTATTCCAAATCCTAGTTCTGCTAGTCACACAAAAATGAAACCAAACTATTTTGGTGGATTAGACCTCGCCGTTTCAACCTGCTATTCAAACGTTGCAAGTGTAAAGTAGCCATATTAGTCTCTCAAAGTCTCAAGTTTTGCTAGGTTGCCAGCCTGCTGACCATCTTTGGTCATGAATTCCATAATCATGAGTCAATGCCCTTCTCATTTCAGTTTAACTCAACTAATAGGGTTGTTGTTGCTGCCTCCTGATCAGCTGTTCTCCAGACACTCTTTGTCAAAAGGGAGTCAACAGTCACACACGTCTCTGTAAATCAGTGATACAGTAAATCGCTTCCTCTAAACACTCTTTAAGTCAACGGCTCTCCCACGCTGCTCTTTCCTCAGACGTTGGGTCCTTTGCTGTAATGTTCCCTGAGGTTGTATGTCTGATAACACATGGAAACATCACAAACCCCCGGAAGCCCCGGATTGCCCCGTTTACCAGGATCGCCTGGTGGCCCCGGTTTTCCAGGAATTCCCTGGTTGCCTGGGTGGCCGATTCCATCGAAGCCACGAGGACCTTGAATTCCTGCGGTGATAAGGAAGTTACTGCTTTTACTGGTATTTCTGCTTCATTTTTGGGAAGAAAGTTGGTTCCATTAAATCTTTATCATAGTTCTTGAGCTATTAAGTTAAAAATAGTGCATGCTGGATTATAAATTACATCTACTCTTACAGTACGGGAGGGGTTAATAAGCTATTATAGCTTCCACAATGAAACCCAGCACTCACTGTCTGCCCCCACCTACCATGCTGTCACTAAAAGTACTCCCTGAAAATGAAGTACAAAAAGGGTCCACCCACATATTAATTAAAGACATAAGAATACAAACAGCCTAGATGCATTTCTGTCAGAAGTGCACTCATGCACAACCCTGACAGCTCAGATGTCAGAAGACTGTGGTCAGGTCACTGAAATAGTTATAGCTCCACAAAATGGCTTAATGGCTGCAGACGTTTCAAAAACCAGGCTGATAGATGGGCTTTTTACATACCTGGCTGTCCAGGTGGTCCTGGAGGTCCGCGGTAACCCTCCCCCTTGCTGCCTTTGAGCCCTCTTGGTCCCATGTCACCTGGGGGCATAATATGTCTGCTTTAAAAAATAGCATTAGAGCTCCAATAAATGAGCTGTCAGATTGAGAGCTGCAGAAGCCTAAAGGCTGTGTTCCCTCCAAGCCAGCCGTGTCCAGTCCTGTGCATTGGAAAAATCCGCAGCCTTCCATTAAAAGGTAAAAGTTTATTTCCCTAATTCTCATCATTCTTTTTTTCTTTAACAATTTTAACTAAGCTATCTAAAGTTCTTAGAGTTTTGGGTAACATTTCTATCCCTTATGGAGGCAGCTTCAGTGATCCTGTGGAGAGAAGGGGACACTGTTACACTGTCAGACACCATTTATATGAAAGCTTGGTTTTTGACAGCCATGACACATGGCACAAATTCTCTGCAGGACATGTAGTAACAAGACTGAGAGCTCTACATGGGCACAATGGTGCTTTGTGCTAAATGCTAATGTCAGTATGCTAACAAGCTTGCAACAACACAACTAATATGTTAATGTTTGGTAGGTATATTGTCTACCATGTTCACCATCTCAGTTTAGTGCAGGGATCTCAAACTGCCGGTCCAGGGGCCATTTCTGGCCCTCCATTCCCCTCCTACTGTCCTGAATGTATAGAACTGCTGTTTGTGTTTTTTTGGTTTAGTATGGTGTTAATAATGAAATATTTTCAGAATATTGTTCTTTCTTGTGGTACTGTTTACTATGAGATGACAATACCAGCAGTGGCCCCAAGCCAATTTGAGTTTGAGACCCCTGGTTAAGAGTATCAGCTTGCTAACTTTTTTATTAGCACTAAAGCCAAAGTACAGCTGAGGATGATGGGGATGTCATTAGTTTTGCAGGTATTTGGTCATAAATCAAAACATTGGACAAATTGAGAATTTGACATGATTGTGGTCATGAGGATCAGCCAAGTGATTTACACATCATCCTGTGGGAATGTCTGTACCAAATGGCATCGCAATCGATCCAATACTGGTTGAGACATTTCACTGAAAACCGAAAATGTCAACCTCCTGGTGGCGCTAGATGAAAAGTCAGAGAATCACTAAAGCCATAGATATTTTATTGAAAACTTTAACCATGATCACAAGTATTATTGCTACCATTTCTATCTGTGGCATTCCATTCCCAGCACACCCTCCATTTAGCCTTTCTATCTGACCTTGACTCAAGTCTGTCCAAGCTGTTCTGTCCACCTCATGCCAACTGATTCGAAACCAAACTAGTGCTCTTATAACTACCTGCCTGTTTCCATGTAAATCTTTCCTATTTCAAGTTTTATCTAAGTTGCCTTTTCTTGACTATGAACATTTGTGTGTGCTTCATTAAAACTTCTGAACTTTGTTGAACTGGACTCCTACTTTGTTTTCTGAGAGCTCGCTGCTGCCAGAAATCAACTCTCAAAGATCAAGAGAGTAGATGATGAAATTAAAACGTCTGACTCAACACAGAACTCTATTCTATTACAAGACATGATGTGTTCCTTTTTCACAAGTCCTTACCAAATCCATAATTGGAATTGGTAGTGCAAGAAGTTGGTTACACTACCCAGCAGTTGTTAATTTAAGCTGGAAATTGATATGTCATTGACCAGACGTTGCTATATTTTTGCTATTAACTGAGCAGAATTGAGCTTCAGATGAACATTCAGTGTTCTTGATCACAAAAGTACACTGTACAGCATATCCTACTAAAAGAAGAAACTTAACTAAACCTCCCAAAAAAAAATGCTAAATCACTCAATACCATTAATTAAATCCAACCTAAAAAATTAACTGTTTAAGAAATAACATAATAATGTATAATTCCAGTGTGTTCCATTTACCTTTTTCTTTAAGTTGACTTTATATCATTACAAAAAAAACACTATGCCATAATCTTCAGGTTTTGCAATTTATGTCATGACTATTTTAGCATGCACTAACAATGAGATTAGATGATCTACAGAAAAGTAATTGGCACAATAAATTAATTATAAATTGTTTTTATCGTACATCAGGTGTTTTGACAGGTAATGTAATTATTTGCTTTAGTGGAAGAAAACTGAGTAAATTCAACTTGGTAACATTTGAATACAGAAGATGCATCATGCAAGTCTTACTACTTCTGGTAAATTCTGTTAATACATTTCAAATGTGTAATGTAATGTGTAATCAATTCAATTAAATGAATGGAATTAGTGCAATTAAGCTGATTTATCCAAGTTTCTTTAACAATAAATACTTGAGTTATTTAAATTGTTTGAGTTATTAAACATAAATGGTTTAAGGCAATCGGTTCCCTCAAAAACTGTAAGTTGAACTAATTTACAGGGTTCTACAAGAACTATTTATAGGACCTTTATTAAATAAAAAATGCTGTATTTATAAGGACAGATATTATATTTTAGTGTGATGATACTCTTACTTACCAACAATGATGTTGTACCAACCTTGGCTCTATCATCACATGAACACAGCATACAGTAAGAATTGGAATCTGTGTACTGATTGGCTCATAAAAAACCAGACTCCAGTTAAAAGCTTAAAGGGGTATTCCAGTGATCTGGTTTTGTACTTCCATAAAGTTTAGCTACTTGCAAGAAATAGATTAAATGGATAGAATCCATGCAGCAGAGGACCTAGTGTCCCTATAGAAGCTATGGATACTACACTTTCACTCCTCCTTGATAGTGTCTTCCATTAGAGCCTCCCTACCTGGTCAATTTCAACCTCTTTCAAACTTCATGTCCCCAGTTTGAGACACAGGTTTTCTGAAAAAACTCTAGTCCAGCTCCTCAAAATTTACAAGTGGAAATCATCCACAGCAGTGGAGTGGTACAGTTTGGCTTCTTTCACAGCTGATTAGCCACTCCCTGTCTTCAAGTGGTGATAAATCATAGACAGCTCATTGAGATGGGTTTGGATTCAGTATTTGTTGTCTTTTGCTCTGCTGACTTTCACTGATGTTCGCTCGTTTAATGATCTTGTTTTATGGGGTACAGTGAACATCAACACATCCAATTTGCTCGTCGTTGACACTGTTTTGATTTTAATCGTTGATGAAAGCAGCAATAAATTTTGTCCTAGCTCTTGTTCATGAAGTTTTGTTGTTATTTATTGTCTTGTTTTCGTCAGGGTAAAGAGACTGAGAGATTTTTGTCACAGTTTCAGACAGTGGATCAAGCACCACTGGCTAAAAAGGGAGCATTGAATATAGATATAATAAACCTGTCCTAGGGTGGTGATTAATCCCTTTAAAAAATCCTACATTATGGGTCATATCACCTTTGAGGCCTACAGGACCCTGCATTCCAGGGGGTCCTGGGTAACCGGGAGAGCCACTCCTGCCAGGGTAGCCCGGAGTCCCCATGGAGCCTTTGGGTCCTGGTGCTCCTGGCTCGCCTGGGGGTCCCTTCACGCTCTGGCAGTGTTCACACCTAGCTGGGGGAGCCAGGCTCTGGAGCAGTGCTGGAAGTTGATCTGCAGGGCACAGCCAGAAGGTGATTAGTAATCCATTAGTATATTATATATTATGTCAAAACTCCAGTTTGATCACATAATACTGTAAGCCTAACCACATTGAAAAACCATATACTCAGTGTGCATATATATTTATTTATTCTAGAAATGTTTCATTAGACATTTTCAGTTCTAGGATTTCTGTGAAATATTCAGGATTTCTCCCATTAGGTGCCATGAATATAGTCTGGCCAGGAGCCTGTGTGCTGCAGACATATTGGGTGCTTTTCCATTCAGCTTATCACACTCTCTCCTCTCCTTGCTCTTCCAGCCCATGACCCCAAAATTGATCGGGGTCGACCATCATGGAGGACGTTTCAGTTAGAGCTACACCCACGAACTGGCCAATATATTGGCTGATATTTGTTGTGTCAGCGCAAATTGGGCTAACTACCTGGAGGAAAATAAATAACTGCATTCTTGTGTTACTGTTTTTTTCAGACTGAATTCTTATTTTAATTTACTAAGTTAATCTTTGCCCAGTTAAGTAAAGTGAGGGGGTCCAAATATTTGTCATCCACAGAAACAGTTACCGGCTCAGCAGGTAGAGCAGGACATCCACTAATCAGAAGGCTGGTGGTTCCAAACCCCCGGAGCAAAATACTGATCCACAAAATTGCTCCTGATGCTATGCCATCAGTGTGTGAATGTGTGTGAATGGATGAATGTGACGAGTAGCGAAGTAGTAGTAGTAAAGTGCTATGAGTGGTTGGAAGACTATAAAAGTCCATTTAATATCTGGACAGGCAACGTTGACAAATATCTGGTGAACATTGTGTAGCATTTAGCAGCTAAAGCCAGATTACAGCCAGACATTTCAATAGGGAGCTGGTGGAGACCAAACCAGAGCTAGATGGCCACATGAAGGCCACTGATGCTCTGCTGAATGCAGTAGTGTAGTGGTTCACGGAAAAGTGGGCATACTTTTAATTTAATTTATTTCCATTTTTAGTTTAAAGTGCCTGTCAAGGCAAATGATAAACGCCCTGTGTTTTAAACAATGTTATAGACTACTCTTGAATATTTAGTTCACCCAAAAATGTGCCAGTAGTATTTGCACATTGTCACTGAACTTCTGCTGCTTAACTTCAGGCAGTGATGATCATTATGAGATTAACATTAGACACAGGAGAATCAATACTGGCCCAAAGGCGGGTGAGACAACTGCATGATTATGCATTTGAACTGAAGTATTCCTTACTCCATCCACTTATGAAAATTGGACAATTATGTCATGCCCTCCCCATCCTAGGAAAAAAACCTCTCAGAATACTACTGAATGATGAGCATGCGAGGGGATTTAGAAGTGGATATACCCAGTGCTGACTGGATAATAAGTGGGTATACTCCATTTACCTGTGTATACCCTGTACTACACCACTGGCTAAATGTGTACATAAGCTGCTTGCTAACAGTTTAGATTTATTAGCTTTGTAAGGTGATGTCGGTGTTGTTTAGGCCTGTTAGCCAAATGGAAAGCACCCATAGTTTTGCTTGATTTGCTTTGGGATAAACACTATGGCATGCACCAGTTAATGGCTGCACTGGTTCTTTTACATTCACATTCTTAAATAAATGAAACTATCCATTATATGTTTAGATTTAACACTGTGCGACTCTTTTAATGAAGGAGGCAAGTTTTTTCACCAGATGCTCTAGTTCAACCCTAAACTGTGCACCTCTGCGTCTGAGAGAAGCTGTTAGCAGTATTTGGTGTGTATGGGGAGGAAGTTTCAGACTTTAGCTTTCTTACTCTGGTTCTCAGCAAAGTGACATAAAACAAACATATACTTACTACGCAGAACATCAGAGCAGAGCTTTAGAAGATGTTCATCTGAGGGAGGCTTGCCCTGCAACACACAATTACACGTAGATTCAGCTGAATCAACTGTGGGACTGGGAAAACCTGTGATTGAGTATGCCTACAGATTTACAGGATCTTCACAACGCTCCATCTCTGTCTTCAAATAGCCCACACACACTGACAGCTGTGCCCCCATTATTCCCACACATAACTCTCCCCAGCCCAGGCAGGAAATCACTGGCTGCTTCTCACAGCCAATTTGTTCTATTTTTTATTTAATCCACTCAGAGGAGATGTTCAGGATGAGGTTCACTCACAGGTTTCCCTGGATAACCGGGTTGGCCCGGTTGCCCCGGCAACCCATCCTGGCCAGGGAATCCCCTGGGTCCAACAGAACCCATGTGGCCCATGTCCCCTTTCTTTCCTTCAGTCCCCCTGGGGCCAACGTCACCTGTCACTCCTTTCTGAAGAAGCAGGAGGGAGGACAGAAAATCTCAGGTTACAAAAGGACAGAAGGTGAAACTGAGGCTCATTTTTCAGACATTGACAAAATGATTTGATCTCATAAGGCTCAACTGACCATTCGTTAATTCTGCTCCTAGTGCAGAAAATTGTGTGAAACTGTGTGTTTATTTTATTTTTTTTATCTCATATAAGTTAGCATCATCAGCACGTCCAGTTCACTGTCTGGAGCTAGGTTGTATTAGTTTGTGGGTTTACATTAACAGAAGCCTAGCATTTCCACTATATAGTATTTCCCCATTGTGTTGAATCCACTCTTGCATGCTGACAGTGTTTAGGCCAACATTAGCGGCTCTGTCCTGCTCTAGAACAAAACAACAGTCTAATATGATCAGGTGTGTAGCAGGAGGGGTAAACTCAGGTAAACTCGGTCCATCTACCTGAAATGAGAGTTTACTCAGGCCAAAAAAATCAGCAGTCTCCAGCTACAGGGGCATTTCCAGAGGGTGGGCCTGGGGTGGCACTGGCCTAATATCCCCCTTGCAGACATGCCAACTTTATGCCAATCTTCTGCAGTTGTGCACAAAAGCCATGCCGTTTTTGCATGTGGTATAAAAGTGTTATTTTTGTCTAGTATATTTGAATATTTCTGCTTACTGGGATCCATTAACAGTGTTGAAAGCTCATAAATTGGGAATAAGTGGAAAGCTGAGACACATTTCATGCCACCCCTGCATAAGTTACTTGTGCCACCCGAGTTAAAAAGGTCTGGAAACGCCCCTGACTATCTAGAAAATGAGAGGCTGCTTCTGTCTACCTCTGTCACAAACAAGCATGCATTGTTACAAAAAATTAAAAAAAAAATCCAGCAATAAATCTTGTTAAGCCTGTCAGGTGTAGCAACAGTAACTAAATCAAGTGGGATTAGCAAATAGTCAATTAGCTACACCAATTAAATCAGTACACAGCAGTCCAAAGTTTTTCACTGTTTTTGTTAGTGATCATGAAGCATGCTACTACAGCGTGTGCTTGATAAATGATAAATGATACCCCACAAAGGGTACAGCATTCACACTACTGAGGGAGGCTATATCTCCATAAATTGTGATTCTGTGGACAGTACAGTAAGTGTTTGATATTTCAGATGTGTGCGCCTTTAGAAAAGAGGGCTTTTGTGATGTATATTTTTGCCCAGGGGGGTAGATTTCCCCAGGCCCGGAGGTATTGGCTCTGTAAGTCTTCTATAGCAGCCGTGCAGGCTTGACAGGGCTTCTCACTGCGGTGCAGAATAAGACAGAATGGATTATATCTAATACGGCAAAGTCTAATTCGACAAACCTCTCCTTTCCTTCCCCTGGGTCCCACTTCGCCCTGGCGGAAGAAAGAAAAGAGAGCGGGAAGAGTAGGGAGGAAAAGAGGAGAGGGAGAAATAGAGAGAGACAGTTAGAAACTTCTGCTTACATATCAAAGGCTGAGTTAGTATGTCAGAGGAGCTGTGCTCACTGCTCTGCATTGCTGATGCAGAACCGCTGTCTTTTCTGTCAAAGCCGGTGGCTTACAAAACATTTTGGATTGGTTATTGTAAAGTATTCTCTAAAGGATTTTTTTTTTTTTTGCTACTTGTTGTAATGTGATAAAATATGCATCTGTGGTTTTGTCCTTAAAAACACCATTAACTGGTAACACCAATTTTGCAAGGCTTTCTTTGTAAAATTGCGTTCAAGGACATATTATATCTGAGGCTGGGGTTGTGTTCCATTTCCTTTACAGTGCTTCCTCTTTTACATCCGTTTGTTCTCCTTTCCTGGTAAGTGATTTCATCCATCCTAGAGACATTTCCTCCTCTGCTTCAAGGAAACGTTGTCCGAGGAAACGCAGAAACCTTTTGTGCCAGTCATACTGTTTTACATTCAAGCCGAGATACAAGAAACTCAAGGACTTCACTCTTTCAACTCTTCTGTGGTTGGCAGTCATGCCCTTCCTACACTGGATGCATTTCAGCTAGGTTTTTCAGTTGTCAAACTCACAGATCAGAGGACACTACAATTTTACACATTTTACACAAAATACACTCGTCAGCCCTGACCACATAACAGTCATCGCTCCACTCATGCTTACTCCCCCCATTAAGCTGCTTTCCCATGGTTTCAGGCAGACAGCAGACAGACAACACTTTGTAGACGGCGTGGGAAAAAACAAACAATCCGTCAGAATGGCAGGACGGCAAAATGAAACATGCATGACATTATGTTGCTATGGTGATGTCGTAAAGAGTGGAATAAAATATATAAAAATGATCTGGTTAAATTCCTCAAGTTAAAGATCCCCTCCAGACATGTATTAAAGGTCCGGTGTGTAGGACATCAAGTAGTGAAGATACAGATTTTGACTAACTGAACACCGATCGCGTCTGTATTTGACAGACTGGAAAGAGAACAGGCTGTGATGTGTGTAGGAGAAACTACGGTGGCTGTGAAAGGCTTAATCTACAGCAAGTGTTTGGTTTGTCCGTTCTGGGCTGCTGTAGAATCACAGGTTGAACAAGGCAGACTTCGCCAGAAGAGGACCCACTCTCTCTGTACATAACAAGGGCTCAGTGTATGTGCCCTGTTGGCTTCAAGTTTCTATATCACCTGTACAACTTACATATTGGACCAGGACTGACTTACAAACTATTTGTGATGTCACGATTCGATCTTGCAGGCCCCGCCCCTTACAATCAGATTTTCCGTGAGCACAGAGAAACTTTCCACTTTCAGCAGATGAATGTAAAAACATTATTCTAGTGTCAAACTCTGCACATACAGCATTCAAACAGCACACTGTAGGGACAAGAAGAAACACTGATTTTTGACTGGACTGGGACTTTAAACATTTTAACTGTGGATGCCAATGCTGTACCATTACCGTTGCCGGTATTCTCTGCCACCACCTGATTTCCTAATATGCCATATTCTATATCTATATCTATATCTATCTGTAAGTCAGCATGGATGATAAATTCTAGAGGTGCTCACAAACATGAAAAGTTTGAGTGTTACTGTAATATCTTCAGTTTCATTGAAACGGAGCAAACGCAATCTGCTGACGAGGACTGGGGGTCAAATCCAGCACAAGTGGGCCTTGAGCTAAAATTGTTCTGTCAACTAACAAAACATTTGCTTTCGAGAAATATGAGCCCTCAGATGCAGCTACCGGATCTGTTCTACGGTGTTGTTAGAATCTTTAATGATCCTAACACTGCTGGAAACTTACTGTAGTTTATAGGTCTTTGCATAGTTAGACGTGCACCAGAGTCCTGCTATTGCACTGTAATCTGAAGCCACATTACTCCCCAGTATGAGACAAGTGGCGATGAGGAGGGAAGCCAAGAAAAAAAGAACACACCCTCTCCTGAACTGCAGTGCAGAGGCATATTTATTTTACCCAGTAGGAATTAGGAAGTCTGTCTGAAGACAAAAATATGTCATATTCATTTCAGCAGTGGCACACTTGTGATTCACTGCTGATGCATTTAGCCTTGAGAGTGTGTCACGTACAGGCTGGGCTGCTCTCAACACTGTGGAATTACAGAGTGTGAACATTAAGCTGCATACTGAGGAATACAATCGTTTTATCTGTCTCAAGTGTCACAGACAAGACTACACAACTCTGTCTCCACATGATGCAATGTAGCTGCTGCTGAGCGCACGCGCACGCACACACACACACACACACACACACACACACGCTCTGTCTGGAATCATTGCCTAAACCTCATCTAGGGACGTGAGAATCGATGCCTCAGTAATCGATACTTAGCGATCAATTCTTAAATGCTACTCGTTTGGTTTTGTTCCTATTAAAAAGTATCAATTACGAAGCTTGGCTTGAAAGGTGGAAATTGCAGATCACACATCAATTCTATCATTATGTTTGTTCATTAGCAAATATTGATACGGATGATAATCTCAGCGTGGATAAACAAGTTAAATCAATTATGCAAATCTGCTTCCTCTCACCTTGTGAAACCTTATTTCACCTTGGTGCCAAGATCAAATCATTCCTCACTGCCAGCCGTTTGAAATTATTTTAGATTCCATCATTCTGCATTAGCAACTGATGCAAGCTGCAAGAGCTTCAAGGACAGAGAATATATAACGCCGACCCTTGCCTCTTTCTGTTGGATCCTGGAGTGGTTTATAATTAAGATTTTACTTATTTCTTCAGTGAGGCTGTACAGATCTTCTCATGACTCATATTAATAATTATTATTTATGAAGAACTTTCCACTTTCCAGATGTCACCTCTCTCAAGTTTCCCGCTCCTTCCACTCATCTGACACGGCCCCACACTTGTAGCACGTGTCATTCATTCCCCCGTTAAAGGAATACGTTTTTATGCTTTCTTGCTGAGCGTTCAGTGAGGAGATCGATACCACTCTTATGTCTGTACATTTTAAGCATTTTAAGCTACACCAAGCAGCCGGTTAGCTAAACGTAAATGTGGGGAAACTAGCTAGCCTCGCCATGTCCACAGATAACAGTCTCATCACCAGATGTACACATTGTTACATTAGTATCTTGTTTTTTTTTTTACAGAAAAACTAAAAACTAAGTTTAAAAACGACAAGCTGTGACACCAGGAAGTCACTGTGCCCGGCCCATAGTCACACATATAACCCTCTATAAAAACTCTACTTTTTATATAAAAATAAAACAGCGGGTGATAGAAGCTTTGGGATGTAGGGACACGTAACAGGGCTGGTTGTTGGACTCCTGTAGCCGGCGAGCTAATAGCTAATCCACTAGCCAGGCAGACACATGCTAGCCCTAGTCAGTCGGAGGACATTTTGGCACATCACAGCTGTGAATCATAAAATAAAAGAACAGAGCCATCATTCATTTTAGAAGTAACACCTGTGCTTTTCCTACTGTCAACCTGTCGGCTGTGAGAAGACCAATATCTTAGCAATAGCTCTCTGTGCTTGCTAGTTTGCTAACTATCAGTGAAAAGACCAGCCTGTAGGATTCAGTAACACCGATCAGCCCTAACATTACGACCCCCAGGTGGTCACAATCCTAGGGCTGATCGGTGTGGTTGTGTAGTTGCAGATTACAACCTCCTTATGAAGCTTGTAGGAGAGACTATGGTGGCTGCGGAAACACATGAAAGGCTTGAGCCGGTGTTTGGTTTGTCCATTCTGGGTTACTGTAGAAATATGGCAGTTAAACATGGCGGCTGATAATTATTTTCAGGGGATTATACAGTAATGAAATCATACCTATGAATATTGTATTCCACACAAGCTCAGTCGCTAATGGGAGTTTATACAAGAGATGTATTTTTACCTGCACGTCTAATAACTGTCTAACAAACATGCACTTTATACTCCAGCAAAGGAAACCCACTGATCATGGCAGTTCCTTTGAAATAAATAGATTTTGTTGTGAATTTGTCCGGTTGTAAATGCTAGTGTAGACCTTCTGCCTGTGTCTGACCTGCCATCCTGCCTTCACCTTGCCATATGTGGTTGGAGTGCCTAGAAGTGTCCAACTGTTAGTTTGATTTTTGGTTAAATAACTGTAATTCAGTGTCTGCACTGGGTGCTCTTCACTGTTGCCATGAATCTGAACCGTCACACTGTGATCCTCATATGGTTGTTCTGAGGTTGAGCCTAAACACCAAAGCGGGGCCAGAGACTCTGGAACGACTCTTCTAAACAGATTAGCTCATCTAACTCAGTTACCTCATCCTGTGTCCCTGCTGAAAGTTTACTTTTTCAGACCACATTTTATTTGATTTTATGATTTTATATTACCGTCTGGAGCTTCCATGCTGTTTTATTCTCTCATTTTTATTTTGTCTCCTCTCATTTAGTCTGTTTTTGCTTTTATTTCATCCTCCTCCGTACTGCTGTTTGCTTGTACTGTTTCCTGTTTTGTCTTTTATTTCATTTTTATGTGTTTTTATATGCTGTCTGATTTTAATCTTGTGAAGCACCTTGTAAAGTGTACTTTCAGGAAGGAGTTTGTTATTTTCATATTTATTTTGTGATAATGTTTTTACGGTGACTTGTATCAGTCAATTAATGACATTAACTACAGACAGACATCACAAGAAATTTAAACTCAAGTTCTAACCCCAAATTAGCTCCTTGTAAGTGAGAACTGGCCAACATATTCTTCCTCATCCTCATGCCCTTGCAGGAACATTTTGTCCCCGTACCTTCACACACATACACAGACAAACACACACATTTGAAAGCCAGTCTCCCTGTTCAACCTGTAGAAAGATAAGCTTCACTGCCACCAAGTGGAAGCAGAATGACTCTACACTCACAGGTACACCGGGAGTCCCTGGATCTCCATCTCTGCCTCGCTCCCCCTGCAAAGAGATACATCATGATTAACTGAAGGTTTTCTGTGAGTTTGTTTACATACGTGCTGGTACAGCTTCATGTGGTGTGTGTGTGTGAGTGAGTGCAAGGGTGAGATTGAATGTGTACAACAACAGTGTGCGTCGATTTAGGTGTGTATGTATTACTGTGTGCTGGTCCATGTCTTCATTCTGTGTGTGTGTGTCTCTGTGTGAGTGGAGAAAAGGTCATGATTACCACTAGCAGCCAATAAGAGAAACCCGGGGAGAGAGGGGATAGGAATTGGCTAGTGGTGACCTTTAACAAACCTGACTTTTTATCTCGTGTGTGGCTTTCCAACTGCATCCTGCAGCACTGTAACACACTGCTCTCCTCTCTCTGCTCCTCTGGGCTCTCACACTGTTTTTCCATTAGTGCATGTAAAGGGAAGCAACTGAATCAGAGCATCCATCGCATGCTTTGATTGTTCAATTTGTGGCTAATGCTGTGTTCACAATGGTAGAAGTACAACAGGGTGGCATGTTGTTGCTACAGTCTTGAGGTGCTCATGTGTTCATGCTGGGATAAAAAAAGCCAGGATGGATAGATATTTAACAAAAAACATGAATAAAATACAGCACATACTGCACAGTTTAGACGTGACTGCACTGAGAGTGAATAAAGTGATTACATTAGTTTGAATTGGCTGAAGTAGAAGATATCTGAGCCTACTTAAACATCCCACATATCCTAATTAACACTAAGAAGCTGATGTAAATCAGTGCAACGTAACCCCATAAAATATGCCAACCAAAGAAAAAGTAATATATCTGAATCACTAATCATGGTAAATGATAATCAGGTTCAAATATGCTACATTGGTTTGCACTGCTCAACCTTTAGGCATGTTTCATTTTTTTATGCTTGTATTTCTGGAAATGTTGAGATTGTAATGAGGTGAGGAGGACTTTACATTATTACATAATTTCAAATTACACATTTTTAACAATCTGATATTCTTTACAGTCAGTTTCTGCAGTCTTCAGATGTGACTATTTGAAGCCATTCAGACCATTGTTTAGAGAAGTGGATATTGCATCAGAGATGATTTTTCCTGATATTTGTAGGACCTTTTTATACAGTTCTTTGTCTGTATTATGTGGTTCTTTTTCATTTTTAACAATTACACACTATTATTAGTCTTCTTTTCTGACACATTCAGTGTTTTCTTCTCCTTGACACTTGGCCATTGTTCTCTTAGCTCTTGTCTCGTTGTATTAACTGCATACTTTTGTAATGCAGGATGAAGATGTTTAGTGAACAAAATAATTTTTCTTATATCCTAAAAATCAAGAAGGCGTTGTGACCCCCCATTAAGCCCCCCAGGTTGAGAACCACTGGCTTAGGGAGATGATTTTATTTATTTTTTTACGTCTTGTCAATTCTTTCTCAGTTTAAGGAATTAATAACATCAGCATTTCCAGTATTCCTGGATCGCTTCCCCTCATCAGAATGATGGACTATACAAATAATAACAAATGTACAAGACAGGTGTCATAATAGGCCTACTTTCAAATCCATAAGATTAATATGCATTTTCAAAAACATTTCAATGTTATATTATATTAAACTATATTCATGAATGAAATTTTAGGTCACTCAATCAGTACGTCCTTCAGTGTTATAAAAAGGTAAGCTGCTGAGTCCGTGTTTTGTTCGTATCTCATGACGACACACAGACGTACATTCATGTGGACAAGGACATGGAAAATGCAGTATACATTCCCACCAACAGTTCAAGATGCAATGTTCATTTATTCTACAACACAGTGTTGTATAACAAAAAGCAAGCTGTAGTCCCTTTATGCTACTCACAAAACAAAAATTATATAAAAGGTTGAACAGATTAATCGTTACAGAGTCCTCGTCCTGGTGTGCACACATCCCATGATGCCAGTCTGTGATGTTTCCAGTCAGGATGCCTTCTATCGCTTCTCTGTAAAAAGTTAACAGGAACTTGGCACAGTAATTTTACTTTCTCAAGTTCCCTTTACAAATACAGTCTGTGCTTTCTAAACCAGAGTGGGGATGTGTGAAGTCCATGACAGGTTCTTTGTGATGCTGATTCCCACCTGTTCCACTCAAGTTTTTTCCTAAAATCAACAATCAGCGCCTCGGTTTTGCTGACATTGAACAGAAGGTTATATATGCTATGCAAGCAATGAGCCTGTAAAAGGCTGGGTTAAAGAAGACTGCTAACTGATGTAAACAATTCTGGTTCCAAATATCCGCAAAAAATGTCTTTGCAAATGATTTATGGTGAAGGAGAGACATTTAACACATTTGTTAGGCCTCTAAGACACACACAGTGTATCCTGGTGAGAAATACTGAATGTAAAAATAAATGTGTTTCTTTACGCCTCTAAAGCACCTATTTAAAAGATTATATGTAAAGTATTTCATCAGAGCCACTGTACGTATATATATGTATATTGAGTGATACTGTGTTACTGGTTGATGTACAGTATAGGACTGTTTTTTTTTTTTTGGTTTTTTTCTAAATAAATTTAGCCTACATCTCAAAATTTAATTAAGTTCTGTCAAGAAACCAAATAGAATTGTTTTTTAAGATATAGACAAGATAAGGGCACGTTGAAGACCTGGACACAAGCTATTCAGCACTTTCCCTCTCTGCCTTATCTCTGCATTCAGAACGTACGCAGTTAAAACCACCAACGAGCTAATAGACAAATGGCCAAGAGTCAGGGACAATAAAACAGTAATTCTGTCAAAAAAGAAACCTATTATGTATAATTGTTAAAAAAAAAAAAAGAAAATACATTATACAGACAAAGAATTGTATTAAAAGCTCCTAAAAATATCAGGAAAACTCATAACTGATCCAAATCCCTCATTTTACACAAACGTAGTGCAGTTATTGTGTCCACTGTTTGGGTTCATTGTATAGTTTATCAGTTGTTCTATACTGTCATTGTTATGCATTGAATATAATATCAAATATCCATAAAATGAATCCCCTTTTTAAGGAAAAAGGTTGGGAACCACTGTTATATAGCACTGGACAAGCACTGAAAAAGGTTTTCAATACTGGTGGCTCATTCCAGCTTCAGCTGATTTTGCCTGTTTACTCCCTGTGCTCTCATCAGCTCGTCAATCTAGTTTACCAACACTGATAAGATCATTAGTACTTATATTAATTTCAGTTAATTCATTCTCAATTAAGTTTTATATTTTAATACAGGAACTGTGTGCAGGGGGCTTTTCCAGACTTGTTTGACGGTGGTGGCACAAGTGGGGCTCTGACTAATGTGTTAGGTTATCTAGTTTCATGTGACACCAGTATCTTCACTTTAACTTTAAAACAGAGCTACGGCCTCTGAAAGACAGTCTGGAGTGGCAGACATAAGGATAATGGGGTTGCACTTGGGTTGGCCCCCTTCTGGACACACCCCATATTAAATCAAACATATATTCTTATGGCTGTAGAAGAGAAAGTACAATACCTGGGTTCCTTTAGAGCCCGCCTCTCCTCTCTCCCCCTAAAAATACAACACCAAACATTAGCACGTGTCCAACAGTAGTTTCAGGTTGTTGTTTTACACTGACAATGTGACATCTAAATAACAAAATGCTGTTTGAGGCATTATGACAGCTGACAGCAAACTGTACAGAAAACAAAGCACAATTTGTTAACCACACTGATCTGGATTAGGATTGCTTGTACTGCGCGCATGAAGGACGACCTTCAGCACCATTAAAATGAATCATGTCATCTAAGCAAAAAAATGAATAATACATTAACAAGCATGTATTATGTTATGCTTAACATTTCGACAGCACAACATGTAAATGTACAGAGTCCTGACAGCCAGAGCTATAAATCATTCATGAAGTGTCGCCTCTGTTGACAATTGCAGACTTCATTAAGTCCAAATGAAACCACGCAGATCATTTTGTTTTATTTTGATTGTGTATGCCAGTGTATGAATCCATTCCCACCTTGTGACCTTTGAACCCCGGCATGCCCATGCCACCTGGCAGCCCTGGAAAACCTGGTTCTCCTGTTGAGCCCTGAAAAGATAAAAGATAATGGATATTTGGACATTAAAGCTGCTGTGGGTAATTTTTATACAAATATTTTTTGTCATATTTGCTGAAACTTTCACTATATCCTGACAGTAGTACATGAGACAGATAATCTGTGAAAAAACCAGGTTCCTCTGACTCCTCCTAGTGCTCCTAATGGCATTTGCAAGAATCCACCGGGCCTGAACGAAAACAACCAATCAGAAATAGTAAAGATGATTATTGATTATTGAGTCTCATTCCCAGGTTCCCAAAGCGTCTGTATTTGATGCCCATAGCAATCAGCTATCTTTAAGCCTGCAATCCAAAGTGTCTTTATGTCTTTCTCGGCTCAGATTGGTTCTTTTCGTCCAGGCCCGGTGGATTCTTGCAAATAGATGGCGATGGCATTTAAGAAAAGAAAATGTTCAGAAACAGTTGTAACCATCATGTCTTTGAAATCCAACAAGGGACCATCTTTATCTAGCAGATAAAAGAAAAGTACTAAAGATTCCTTAAAATATCAAACATGAACAGTTTCCAGATGTGTGTGTGTGTTTGTGTATGTCTATTCTATCCCGTGTGACAACTTCCCAGGCTGCTGCAGCGAAAAAGAACTGTTCTCAGCCAGTAATTAAGGCTGGTTTAATACAGGTTAGAAAGATGTTTGAGTGAAAACTTTTCAAGCTCTCTTTTACTCATGAAATCATCATTTCCAAAAAGCTAAAGTAATTCTTGCTTTGAAGGATGGCACCTACACAATAAGCAAGGTTACCTGTAATTAAGTAGCACAACGGAGACAACTCGGATTCTCTTTTTAAAACCACAATGGTTGACATTTATGGGCGTAATTGCTCAGAAACATGTCACTTAACAAACAAGTGGCATAGAAAGTGTGGTTGTCATTCATCAGCAGGATCCAAACTGCGGGCTGGAGAAATAAGAAGTGGCTGGCAGGATGAGAGGAAGCAGACAGAGAATGAGGTTTAGAGAAGAGAAAAAGCAAAAGCTGTCACCCTGACCGCACCCTGATCCCTCCGGAGGGAATTAGTAATGCCCTCGCTAATCCGACAGCCATGTTGAATTTTCAAACACTCTCTTATACGTAGCTGAGTATAGGCCAGGGTTGCTCAAACTTTGTCCCTTGGAGGGCCAATACTAAAATGTAATCCTGGGACAGGGGGCCAAAAGCAAACATCTATAGTGTTGTACTGTTAAAGCTGCAGTAGGGAACTTTAGAAAAAAGAACGTAAGTCATATTTGTTGAAACTTTCACAATATCCTGACAGTAGTGCATGAGACAGATAATCTGTGAAAAAATCAGGTTCCTCTGGCTCCTACCGGGTCCGGACCAAAAGGTTTTTTTTCTAAAAGTTATCTACTGCAGCTTTAAGATGCAAATGGTACTAGGATCAGTAAGTTCACTTAGTTGACTAATTTCCTGTATAAAGTGTCACATTGCCCTTCGTGCTCTGATTATAAAATATAATTCATAAACAGGGATCCTAACTTAAAATAAATAAAACTGCATAAATAACTTCATATGACATCTGGGGAATAAAGGTGCAAACAGTCTACATCAGGGATCTCAAACTGCTGGCCTAGGGCCCATTTCTGGCCTCATGTCAAAACATCAAAAATCTATTATAATCAATTGTATTATTTAGTTTTTTTTTCTAGTTGTTTCATATCAGTTTAAACTACTACCCCTTAATATACAATTCAAATAACAACACAATTCTATTTTTATTTATTTTTTAATGTTTAATAATTTGGTGCAAAAAAATGGCAAGGGTCAGTAGTTGATAAGAACAAACCAGGTGTCGCGCCTTCATTTGTATTTTGGCTGTGAACAACAAAGATGATAGAAAATGATAGAAAAATTTATCGAAGCTGCTTTTGATACATTTGTTGTTAAGTATGATGGTAATAATTGAAATATGTTCAGAATATTGTGCTTTCTTGTAATACTAGGAGTGGCTCTACTATGAGATGACAATACCAGCAGTGGTAGCCAATTTGAGTTTAAGACCACTAGTCTACATGGTTTTGGCAAGAGAAGACGGCAGGCGATTAGACGAGCTTAGCATAAAGACCAGAAACACTGGCCAACAGTTAGCCTGGCTCTGTTCTATAAAGCTCATGGTGGAAATATTTATAAAATCTTGTCATCACAGTGAGGTTGCCAGGTTTGAAACCATGGTGTGTGTACACCAACTGTGCTCAACGACTGTATCTGGCAACCCACACTAAAGCAGGAGAAGCTGCACCCAAGTACTGGCTGCACGGATACACTATTGTTCCATAAACAGATACAGCACTTAACTAAAACAAATTAAATACTTGGGCTGGGTGAAATGGCTGTAACATTTATCACAATAAAATGTTTTATTGATTTTTCATTAAAATTTCTGTCGATAATGATACTTATTGATCATTTTTAATGACCTATTTTTAATAAAGACCAGGTGAAAATAACAACCACATTATGTATGAAGGCACACAGGTAATAATTGAATGTTAATGTTTTGTCAGACTGTATTGTTGCTGGAGAGTACCTCTCCATCGTGGACTGCCTGTGGATCATTTCTTGAGATTTCCCAGATGTAGGTCATGATTGACGACATGCTGGTACTCCAAAGAATGATTCCCTAATAGCACGCTCCGTTATTGAGGAATATGACAGCCGGGTCATGACCAAGGGTGTATTCCTTATGTAATTTCATAGCGGTTTGGATTTAATTCCCTATCAATATTCTATTTATTAATTTTCTTATTGCTATTAATGAAGCATCTATTGCCGGTACATATTGCTATTGTTTTATTACCCAGGCCTGTGAGATATGTGCTAATAAGTAAGCTTAGGGGGTGCTGATATATGTATTCTTTCCCTTTAGACAGAATCACCTAGCTTCCTGTTTATAAGCTAGGGGAAATACTGTTTGTCCACACTCTAACTCTGAAAACTGACTCTTTGGTCAAGAAAAAATCACCTGGCAAAACTAGGTCTGAAATAAATGCCTGTAATTATTATTTAAGATTACATAAAATAGCCATTATGGAAAAGAGGGAAAAGGAAAGGAAGATGCTGGAAAGCAGTAAAGAGAGAGGTTCAATTAAAACAATGTGATCTGGTCAATAATCTGAAGCTCCACTCACCTTCTGGCCTGGTGGACCAAAAGGACCTGCGACCCCTGGATCTCCACACTTCCCCTAAAAGAAACACACACACACACACACACACACACACACACACACACACACACACACACACACACACACACCGCATTTGTCTCACAAAATTGACTAAACACCCATTTCTGAGTCTACCTTTAATACGAATCTCTATTCCAACCATCACAAAGAGCAGCACACAGGTCAGTGGGGGCATATCGGAGTGTAGCTGCTATTTGCATTCATATAGGCGCAGCACAGCATGCACACAGAGGATGGCTGAAGTGGAATATAAATCACAGTATGAGGTGATTAATCATTATCCTCTCGGCCAGTCCCATTATTGGCCTCTTCCCCGTTAAACAGCTGCACCAAGCACACAAGGTATGACTGGTGCATCATGAAAAAGGCTCAAAAAATGTAGACAGGAGACAGCTTATGAAAGTATTCTGCTGTGTCCATTCGGAGAGGGAGGCTGAGGGGCAGCATGCAAATGTATGTCAGCCAAAAGCGGAATTTACATTGGTGGATAATGTGCCATGTTTTCTTAACATAATGCACGTTTTTATTTTGCAACTAAATTATGCACACGATTGTTGGGATGTCAAGTTAGTGAATCTGTAGTATGCTACAATTAAATTAGTACAATAAAAGGGATTAATGTGGTTTTATAGTGGTGGAAAGAGAACTCTTTGCTGAAGTAAAATTAGCAATACCACAGCATAAAAATACTGTTAGAAGTAAAAATCCTGCCTTTTTTATGTACGTTTAAGTACACAAGCATTATCAGCTTAATGTACTTAAAGTGTTTACCCTGCATGTAAAGCAAGAAAGGTGGCCCTCTAAGGAGCATTATATTGAAATATTGATACTGTTGGACTATTATTACTGGCATTACTTATAAGCAGTTGCAGGGGTCTTAATACAAATGTTTTCTTCCACTACAGCAAATTATTAATTATTAATTATTACCTGTCAAAACTGCTGACATACGATAAGAACAATTTACAGAATCAAAGTATTTAATAATAGAATTGATTTACTGTGGATCATCTAATCTAATTGACGCTGACACTACTAGCCCACTTGTTTTTTATGTGACTGACATCAAATCTCGCCACTTTGGGGGATCATTAAGATTTGTTGTATACTTGGGCATACGATGATTTATAAACTTAAATAAGAACATACACAGAAAAATCTAAAGCATTATCGCACAGTGGCACTTATATAAGACATGATATTAGTTCAACTAAGTCAATAGAACAAACTTTATATCATCAATACTTAAAATACTGCAGTTATTACTTCAACTAATGGTTTTTGAGTTGGGTTTAATTAAACATTAAAACATTTTTGGAGGATTAAGTTAAATTAACTTACCTTATTTAATTAGGATATGTTTTACAGTGCAGACAGACACAGTTCTCAGTACACTCAGGGGTTTGTCCCGCTACAGCCTCACTTGGTCTGTTATGACTGGTAGCTTATGGTGGCTAATGATAGCTAGTTAGTAAATGAGCTTACTGACAATGTGCTACAGTTACATAATGTTGTTTCATGTCACAAATAATCATTGTCATAATCATCAGTGGTTTTATGGCAGAAATAAAAGAGCTAAACACAGAGTGACATTTGCGTATGTTGTTGCTCTCTGGCGTTTGTTGATGCCCAGGAAGACGCAAACTTGTATCCAACCAGTGTGATGTGTGCAGAGCTGCAGCTTGGTTTGTGTAGTTGTTTTTGCAGCAGCCTGATGTTGGTTATGCATGACTTAATCCAGGTAACCACGGTGGATCACTGTGTGTGATAGTGCTGTTCTTTTCATACGTTGTGTGTTCCGTCTTCAATTATCAGCTACAGATAGAACACACAGCCTTCAGACTTCAGCAGGGAGTTAATCAGCTGATAGGGAACTTTCCATGCAGGTGTGAAAGCAGGTGCAGATAAAACAGACTGGTGAGAATCCTTAGCTCAGTACAGGCTGCTTTACTGGCATTTAAGTCACATTTAAAACGAGCAATCTAAATTCATGTACTAGTTAGGGTATGTATTTATTTGTGTTTATTTATGTTATCAGTTTATCTATACATGTATGCTTACTGAGTGACCAAATCACCTTTTATAAATTATCAGGTGCCAGCTGAAACAATTTTTACCTTCATATGCATGAGACTCCTATCTTTCACTCCTGCTTCTCCTTCCATCTTTGTGCCATGCGTGCTGCACCGAGTATACAAATTCCAAAGGGACAGCTAATGTGCATTTCAAGGTCAGGGAAATATTAATATTAATGTCCTCCTGCCCTCTGTGCTACTCATTGTAAAGACAAAAGAAACAGAGCCCTAAAGGGGCCCTCCACCAATTTAACAGATAGTTTACCTGTCATTTCTGCAGCGTTTTGGGGCTAAACGTTGGGGTATCACAGTGTCTGTTGCTTTGCTTTCAACCACTCTTGTTTTAATTTGTCTCTTGCAAATTCCCATACTTTGCAAAAGTGCAACAACAAATCACTGGAGTACCCCTTCAATCTGCAATTAGACCCATAATTAAGTCAAATATTGCAAAAACTTCACTTTGCATAAACCCCTAAGAGTAAAACTTGTTCTTTGAAGGAGATAAATACACACTCCAACAGTCCAAATATGAACCGTGCTTGTCAGGATTGGCATTTATCACATATTCAGAAACACCTACAATTTGATTCCAAACAAGTTGACTCCATCTCAGCTAAATGCAGTTTTCTCTACGGGAACATCAAGCAAACAGGGAGGGAGGGTACAACATTAGAACAGGCTGAGAATAGCCGAGCGGCTGGGGAGCAGCAGGCCATTAGCATAATAACTAATTATAACGTTCAACGCACAGACCTTGGGACCATCTCGGCCGATCTCTCCGGGCGGCCCCTGGGGCCCCTGGATTCCCTGGACAGAGAAAGATATTGGAGGGGAGAGGGGAGAGAGGGAGAGGGGAGGGACGAGAGAGGAAGGGAATGAAAGGGAGAGAGAGAATGAGATGAAAGAGACAGACACGGTGCTTTGGGCTGAATGTGACAGTGTGCGTGACGGCTTAGTCAGGAGGCAGTGAGGGAAAAATGAGATGGCTCAGGTCCACACACACACACACACACACACACACACACACACACACACACTCGTGCAAGCCTACTTTTGCACACTTGCACGCTTTGCACATTTACCAGTCCAAATTTTGAGCAATTTCTGAAACAATGGGTCCTTGATGTCAGACAGAGGTGTAGCTAGCTGTAGCAGAGACGCTGTCTCGGATGACTTGTAGAGGATTTCTCATTTTAAAACGAGTCGACTGGAAACATTAAGAGGGACTTGATGACTTGATCCGTTCCTTACACATCTGCACTTGTGATTTTGGTTTTGGAAAGGCAAGGCATCACCCTCTACTGTATAGAGTATTGTATACGGAGTACCACCCTCCCATGTACAACCGATTCCACATGTGGGGAAATCCAAAACTTAGCAGGTTGCAGTTGCTAAGCTACGATTGGACAAGCACTGTCTGATGGAGGAGTTCAGTTAATATTAGTTAGTTTGTATTACGTATGTTTCCACATGGTCTTAGCGAGATGGATTGGTTATTTTCATTATCTTTAACACATCACTTTATCCAGGGGATTTGATTAACTGAGTAACTGTAACTGATATTGTATTGATATGTAGTTTAGTGTTGTAAATAATGATCAAATAAATAATTTGATGTGTACATGTTGATGTAATTGATGGCGGGGCTCGACCCAGGGTTCATTAGTGATGAGAATTTTGGCTCGTATTAGTGAGCCACATCATTTGGCTCAGCTCAGTAATAAGAGCCAACTCTTTTGGCTCCCAAACAACTTCTGTCTTTTTATAATTCAGATAAATTTCACAATGTTGTGACCTATGCTTGGTACTCTATGTGTACAAATATATGCTATACATAAATTATTTAAGGTAATTATACTAAACCTGAAATTGTACCATATGTTTACATTATGATTGGCATAAGTACCTTAAATAATTTGAAAACAACACTATTACATATACATTGAGCATTTTATTTATACTGGACCGTGTTTTGTATGTACCGGCACAACATACAAAAGTCAGGCTTGGGTTTTAATGTTATTACCAAAGTGAGCAAATATGTTATAAGATCATCCTATTATTCTGTCTTGTATTCATTTTAAAAAAGAGCTTAAAGGAGCTGACTCATAGAGCAGACTCATTCATGAACAACACATCATAGGGTTAAGACCTGGGTCGAATCAGGTGCATTTTGACCTTGGTTACATGTTCAGTACATTGCTTAGAAGCCTTTATTCAGTGTGTGGGTGGCTAAACTAAGATATTGTTATGATCATGACATAGTTTTAACAATTCAAAACTAAAGTAAAAGGTTTAAATGATTGATGCTGACATTTGCAACTGAACATTTGAAGCCCTTTCTGAGATGATGAAGATGTTAACAAAATCAATAATAAATCTGATCACTTGTGGCAGAAACACAGTGATCATGACAATATAGGGATATGAAATACATAATTTTGAGCAAAGAGAAACATACCATTGTGTGTTTATTGATTAATGAGGAGCCAAACAAGGAGTATGCACATTCGAAATGCCAAATTTGATTGGTGTTGGCTGGGTCAACTGACAATTAGTTTGACTTCTATGTATATTTATTATCATACGATTGTATGTGGTTGCCTAGATACAAGCGACGGCTCATCCCACCTCCTCCTTCTGACTCCTGTGTGTATGCATGTGTCTGTACGCGTGTCAGATAGAGTCAGAGACCCACTGCAGGCATAACGTCATACCGTGGCAGTGTTCACTTCTACTGACAGGAATAGAAAGAAGGGGATGAAGACTAAAGGATGAAGCTTGTGGTTGTGGAAAGGTGAGCTCTGTGCACTTAGATCCATGCAGCAGGCCACACCAGTGTTTGGCTGCTTTTAACAAGGCTTTATGTGCTACAGAGAAAGTATGAGATTTTAAAAAAGACACAATTGCATTTTATAATCATATTCAATTCCGTTTTCATATTGTATTCATATGTTGGATCAAGATACAGGAAATATACTGAATCATTTTCTGTTTCATATGTTGTTCTATGACCAGCCAACATTTCAACTAAACAGGTTTCCACAATGCAAATCTGTTAAATGCCTTTCCAGCCATTATTCACTCTCCTTACCCTTACCCACTCTATCCATGTTGCACTGTCACATTTTAACCACAAGAGAGCAGCATAGCTATAAGCATACAGCCCAGTGATCAGAGGACTGTGTACTCATAGTGCTCTGCTGTAATTGCATCTGGCCGTGTGTAATCTTGTTTACCAGAGGGGGGTGCCCTTACTGTGTGTCCAGCCGTAACCCCACACAAACTCATCTGACTCTGGTTCTAAATTAAAAGCCACTCAATGCCTTAATGGCACTGCTAAATAAACCAAATGGACTCATATGGCGCCTTGGCTAAATTAATGATCTCATTATGAGCCCACCGCAGAGACGGTAATGTGAGCACTTTTATGTGTGGAATTCTAGTGCAGGAGATAAGACTGCATTGCACAAAGACAAATGTGAAAAACGGGTGGACCTGTCACATAGGAAACAACAGGAAATGTAAATGTATGGGTCCGGTGTGGGTTAAATGAGGGCCAAGTAGGCATGGACAAGAACTAGGATCCGTAACATGATCCGTCGTGGCAAGCCCATGTGGGCTGAAAGTAAACCTTTAAGGTTTCTTGTGAAAAAGTTCAAATTTGACCAAATGTCCTTCCTCCACTGCCAACAGCCAATAGGCTATATTATTCAGATGTTTGGAGTACCAAATCCCCTACGTTCTACAGTCCTTGTCATTGCTAACTTTACTGTTAGGAAGGGAACAGAGAGACATGTGCTACTTTCATGTTGCCAGCTGCTTCTTTTCACCTTCCAGCAAAGAGCCTCGCCGTGAGGGATTAAAGGCCCCAATATGCTTCAAACAAACTAGGTCGTAGGATGTCTAACCACGTCTAAAGGCAAAAGTGTTGAAAGCAATTCCAAAGGGTCACACTTAAAAATGAGGAAAAAATCCTGTCACTATAGCCTTTCAGCTCTGTCTCATGCATGTGTTTTTAGTCTTGACAAAAATTATACTAGACAGAGTGCAGCAGAAAGGAGCACATGCTTCTTACCTACAAACATGGGCAATTGTGTTTGTCGAAACAAAACAAGGTACTAATACTAGGAATCCATCTCCCCGGTCAAGGTCAGGTTCAAGTTCAAGTCAGGTTAGATCTGGATCCTAGATATCCCCATGTCTTTTACAATCCCCATCAAAATGATGTGTTCTATCTTTCTTTGTGAACATGGCGCACAAAAGAGCTAATATATGGATCCAACAGTGAGTCTATTTAGGCTCCATGTGTGTCTGGCCATGGTGGACTACAACTTGACTTATGTGAGCAACTAATCAATCAAACATGTATGCAAGTTCTCATTAGCTTTCATACTGTAGGCGGGCACAAAAAGCGACACATAAATCATTAACACATGTTTTGATCATTTCTGACGTAAACCATTCACTACTTCACAGCTTAATGGAATATTGTACATAAGTATTGTCATGCAGAATGTTGAGGAATCATTTCAGCATGCTGAAGACGATTGAAAGATGGCTGATGTTATACCAACCGGCATTCCTTTTATTCCAGGTGGTCCTTGTGGCCCAGGCAACCCAATTTCTCCCTAAAAAGACAATCAAGAACACAGATGATAAACAACTGATTGGAATGACTTTAAGCCACTAACAATTCTGACAAGTGACTCGCAAGTCACATATTACCTGAGGTCCCTTTGGGCCTGCTTCGCCAGGTGGTCCCTGGGCACCCTGTGGACAACGTGGATTTACAAGATTACATAATGTCTTTGTGGAGATTTAAACCCAGTTTCAGAGGGAATGTTTTGATGTATTTTATCTGTATTCTGAGCGTTTAAATGCCCCATCATAGGTAGACGCTATACTGCTTGCACAACTGTATGGTGCTGCTTACATGGAACCGTATAGTGTGGCAAAAAGTACTCACTACACACTTTTTGCAGTGTCTTTACTTTCTTTTTATTTCTGGTTAGGGTTAGGGTTCGGTTTTAATTTCTTTCAAATTCAAAATCCACCTCCAAACACACTGATGGAAATGTCAACTCAATGTGCACCGATGTTAGAGAAAACCCGTCTGTTACTATTTTTATGTCTTGGCAAGTTTATCCCCACAATTTGGACTGTCTTGTAAAGTCAGGAGATGGTACTGATATAACTTTATTAAGTGAATATGAATAGGGGTCACATTATGCTATGTCCTGTCGTGTCATGCATTAAGATGTTAGCCTCCAGTGATGGTTAAAGTCTTTGGAAAAGCAGCTCTGTTGAAGATTCCCTACCTGTCATGCAAAAACTAATGGATTATGCTGGAGGATCAAAGTGCTTTGGATTCAGACTATGTGAACCTGCACTGATGATCCCACTAAAGATAAGTTTGATGTGTGTGCATGTGTAAAAAGTAAACTAAGTGTAATCCTTGGGGTTTAAATAAGTCTGATATATCCAGATATCAGCGGGCGTCTGACATGGTGGCTTTACTTCAGTAACAACATCGGGGCTTTCTCTCTGCTAACATCAAAAAGACTTCCTGTGTACTTTCTTTCATCCTCTCCGTATCTATCCGTCTGCAAAATATGTTTGTCAGTGTCTCAATTTAATGTTAGAACAGCCGAATAGACTATTTTAATTTTGTCAAAATGATTTGTCTGATCCTGGAGGAAGGTGATGTGGAATTAATGTTAGATTTCAGTGTTGAGTGGCTTTTTAGCTACTAACTTGAGAAGATCTACAGGTGATACTAGAAGTATGAGATGCATCTGTTTTTCTGGTGAAAACACGAGGATGCAGAGTGATAACACATTAGAGTGAAGCGGGCCCTGCATCGTAACATTCATCTTACTCATCAATCTCTCATCAGCATGCTCGCAAGTGTGTGGATGGATGTGGATATGTGAGCTGTCTTTAACAAAACCTGGTTATCGAAACACCATCATACCTCCCCCCGAGGTGAGCAGAGGGCAGAACAGGGAAGGGGTAGGACGACAGATGAACCGAGACCCCAGACGAGGCAGCGTCAGTAAATATCAAAGAAGAGCAAGCGCTTTGAATTTTTGACAGTTGTGAATCAGTGCAGGATGTCAGTCAGTCCAAAATGTTGTGAAGTCAATCTAACAAGCTTTAGAAACGTGTCATTCTTTGCTGCTTACAAGCTTTTCAATTCCAGTTTCAAATAAGCCTTAATTTACATTTCTTTTGCAGATTTACTCGAAATTCTGTGGAAATGTGCAATTCATTTGGATGGAAACACGGCTTGTATAAGCAAGTTTCTGGTTCTAACATGAGATGTTACAGTAAATAACACAGTAGAAATTTTGGCATGCGTAACAATGATTTAATAAATTGATCGTTGTTTCCATCGACTCCCGTTATATGATTATTATTAGTTGGTTCATTGAGATAAGGTTGTGCCAATTCTCCAGTCAGAGAGTCACAAGAAGGCGAAACAAGATGACATAATTACAAGAGCACCAGTTGAACCTGAAACAGTGAAAAGATGGTCAGAGGGGAAACAGCTGATCCGCCCTATAAGGTATGTCAGAACTTATAAGCTTTTTTGCTCAAAATCTTTAGAGAAATTGATATATCGAATTTTGCCATTTCCATCAACCTTTACTAATGCGCGTAAAAATATGTTGATGGAAACATGACTGTAAATACATTTCTTGAAGGATTAAGCCCTGGTTATGTCACAAAGTGGCACTACAAAAGTCCTTCTCATATCCTTTTGAAAATGGTTGTGCTCGAAGCATGGTGACGTGGGTAGCTAGCTCAGTCACTAACCTGATAGTCAGTTAACAAGTTCATTTAAGAGTCGTATTTGTATCAACTGCTGGGCTCTATATAATTATCTATATAACTTCCTTCTATTTAGACTGTTACCAAGTTAACACATTTATTCTTCAAAAGCAACCTTACACAGTAAGTGCCAGTGTATATGTGTGTTTATATAATAAAAATGATATTGCTTTATGTAACTCAGGGTGTAGGTTGGGGGAAAATGGGGCCGGTCCAGACAAAGCCACTCCCTACTTACTATATAGTGCACTGTTTTTACTGTACTCCATTTTATCAGCCTCTGTTACAAGGCAATAACAACTGGGACAATGTATTATAGTAAAACTATTTACAATAATAAAACCTGCATTCACAGTTTTTGTTTCCCCGCGTTCCATTTAAATATCAGCTTGATTATGAAGGGAGGGTTTGGCTTTGGGATGCAGTGGGGAGCTGCTCTGCACGCAATGCTGTCTGCTGCTGTGGACCTATGAAGGTCTGTGTGTGTTCATATGCATATGTTGACATGGGTGTCCACTGTATTTTAAATAGAGTGGGTGTCTGGATATCAGTACTGAAGGCTGTGTAATTAGCAGAGACAGGAAAAACAAGTTCCCCAGTTTGTGAATGAGTAATACATGTGTATATCTGTGTGTGTGCTTTGCTTTACACACTGCCTCTCATAAAGTGTGAGTGTGTGGTTGTGGGATGTGACACTGATGAGTTTAGCAGTCCGGCATTTACAGACACAGGACGTAAAAGTGTGAACATTTCATACATACACATGGAACATAACATTCAACAGTTCTGTTATTCCAAAGAACAGCCTTTTAGGTGGTGGCTTTCCATATGATTAAACCTGTGTTTTACTCCAGTCTTTTTTCACTGCCTGATATTAAAGTGTATTGAACTGAAAGCGTACCCAGAGAAAAAAATGCCTGTTCTACAAAGCATCAAGGCAGAACTGAGCTTGTATTGCACAAGCAGCGACCTCTGTGACCTCCGTATAGTACTTTATGTACATTTTAAATGAATAAATATCAAGTTCACATTCTGCTGAACACATTTCAGTACCTATGCTGCTCCAGACGTATCTCCTGTGAGTAACTGTAGTGTGAGCATAATGCAGCCTGCTTCCAAGGGGACCTTTTATGCTTTCCCTTAGTTTGTGTCATATACATAATGTAACAATGGTCATAAATGTGGCCAAAGTAAATAATAAGGTAAATGAATGTAAAAGTAATTCCTGTGGGTAAAAGGGTCAGTGTACTTTACGGCCAATGGATTTTTGTTTTGAAATGAGAAGAACCAAAATACCATTTATAAATATAGGGAACAAACAAAATATCTATCAAAGTATCTACAGTACATGCCTTAGTCATAGGCACAACTGTGAATTTAGTAAGTGTTTTTAATTTATTGTATGTTACATCTACCTGCCCAGGGACTACGGGTGGAAAATAGCAACTTGCTAAAACCCGGTGCAATGCATCTCTCCTTGTTATATGCAGGGTTAATGTTTTATTGTGCACTGTCCCTGCTCAAATAAAAGAAATAATAATAATAATAGCCTGCTTGAATAAAAGGAAATGAAAGGCATAAATCAAATGAATACTTCGGGCCCATCAACCTCTGGGGAGCCCTGAATGAATGAGTGTGGTTCAGTGTGAAGTGACGCAGGTTTTTCTGCTGCTGTCTCTGATGACATCACAGAGGACATTATACAACCGTTATTACCGCCAGTAGTACTTCTAGTGGTTAGTGAATTGACTTTGACATTTAAAATTTGCGGAGAGCCCTTTTAATATGATGACATTTCCAGTGGCCTCCAGCAGTTATGATAACTGCGGCTTTTACAACAAACATCACAGGATGATCAAATGTGTCTTTGTTCTTACTATGGAAAATAAGTTCAAAGATTCTTATCTACTGGATTTGATCGACTTTTTTGCAAAGCATTCTGGTTCCAGCTTGGTTTGAACAGAAATATAGTCTCTAACACCAACAATGAAGCATGAATTATATCTCTGTTTGAGGTAGAATACAGCTTCCTGGTTTCAAAAAAACTGGTTGTTGGCTCCAAATTGATTGGTCCAGGAGACTGTGTTGAAGTCTCTAAAAACTCAAGTTACTAGAGAATTGGTGCTATGCACAATTACAAACCATGAGAAACAGTCTTGTAACAGAGATAGAAACCAATATTGTTGCCAGGTTAATTGATTTCCTTCGACAGTTAATCAAGCCTGACTGCTCATTGCCCTTGTGCCGACACAGCAGCTTTTCCCATTCTTTGTGTCCTAGTGTGTGCACTTGTGTACATGCAATGTGTGTGTGTTTGTGTGTGTGGGCAGTGAGTTTACTAGCACACAGCAGTGTGTAAAAGCAGCAATGAATCCAAGCTCTCATGTTTATGTCCTGATTACTCCTTCCTTCCAACCTTTATGGGACCATTTAAAAACTAGTTGCTTGTTATATTCACAAAATGCTGAGTTAACAGGAGTTATGTTCTGTGAGCAGGCTCTGCGTTCATCAGCAGCTCTAACACTTTCTAATAACCTGAATTAATACACTGATCTTTGTCATTTTGTCATCTGTCATAATTGCTGCATAAACGTTACAGAGTAGTGTTTCATTTTCAAATAAATGTTTACATTGTAAAACTACATCATGCAGCCTACTTTAATACAGACAGCAACTACATGCCATCAGCATCAACTTACCGGGGCACCTTGAGCTCCAGCAGCACCAGTCAGCCCAGTGTCTCCCCTGTCTCCCTGAGGACGCAACAGACATGTCAGCACCTTTTATCTTTCACTGGGAAAGCATTAGTACAATGTACAGTGATCACTTATTCACATTCACTCAACTGAATAGAGGCTACAATTTGAAGAACACACCTGTAAAATATTATGCAAAATATGGGACCCCCACTAGGGGTCACCAAAGCTTCATCAGGGGTTGCAAGCCCTTCCTGATTTTAATGGGTGTAAGAAAACCTAAGAAATATACACAGTAGACCTATATTTCTTAGGTTAGCAACTTATCTAATTCCATGAAGAACTTAATTAAATTATTTGCTTAGATAGTATGTTTGATTGTTTACAATACAGACAGAGAATTGTAGAAAATTCCTAAAACCAACATAAAACTCACCTCTAATATTTATAGGAATGAATCTGCTCAAAATTCATCCAAACTGCTAATTTTACATAAACTTCCTGTTATTGTGGTCCCTATTTGGGTTCATTCCACAGTTTATCAGTTGTTCTGTATTGTTAATATCCAAAAAATATGTCACTTAGTCAGGGGTGGTTAGTTTACTTAACGATAGAAAGGGCTCCCTTAAGGAAAAAGGTTGGGAACCACTGTTGCAAAGCAAAGCCCACTGAATGATTCTGGCTTGTGAGCAAGTGAGTGAATGAACAAATTAAAGAAAAGTCAGTCAGTTGCAGTGAGTAAACATAATTGTGATTCTGATTATTTTAAATTTTCAAATTTAAAGTACCTACAACAATTTTCTACAGACATCGCATCATCACATCAAGATTTTTAAGTTCCAGGGGCCCACGTTATGTTGAGTTTTGCTTCTTTGATATACATTTAACCCATTCTATTGTGGATTTAAATGCACATCTTAATACCTCCAAGCCTGTACTGGGACCCCCTCATGCTACTCCCAAAAACAAATGCTATATACAGTAATTATATGTATTAGATGGGTAAATAAATAATAATTAATAGAAATTATTCTACAGGGTGAGGATGAATTAAGAAGTCTCACAGCCTAAGGGAAGAAGCTGATCTAAAGTCTGGTGGTACGGCTGTGGATACTTCTGTATCTCTTGTCAGACGGCAGCAGGGTGTGGCTGGGGTGGGTACTGTCTTTTAGAATGGTTCTTACCAACATTGTAATTCACAGCTACTATATAATGCATAAGGTCCATTATTAGGCCCTAATTTAAAACATAAGGCAATAATATGTGTCCTTACTATTATTAAAGGCAGTGGTTTTAACAAGAGCAAACTGTGCAAAAAAGTATACCTGTGCAGAGAAGCTGTGGTTTATTTTCATGCACTGCATTACAAAGTCTGTTTCTGTGTCACAGAGAATAAAGTCATTTCTCTGTGCTTGTATCTAAGGGAACTGTCTGGGTTTGGCGTGTCAGAGTTTATCTGTGGCAGTGACACTGACGCAAGAACACCAGCTTGCGTGGCGAGTCCTGCGGTCAGAGATCTTAAAACAAAACTGAACAGCGACAAACAAACACCATTTTAAGCCACAACACAACATGCAAATAAAGTTTTAACCATCCACAGAACACCAAAATCCACGGCTTGGTTTTCCTCTCAGACCTCTCCACACTGTTTAACTGTGTTTGTTGAATGTATTACGACATAAGTGGTATGTTAGCAGGTTCCAGTGTGCGCCGCTGTGCAGTGAACACTGGCAATGAACATGTGAAACAAGCTGTAAAATGTATTGTGGTACTGCAAGCCATTCATTTGTAAAGTTACATGTTACTCCCTGAAGAGCTTTGACACATGTCTGCTTATCATACAGATGTATACAAAAAGAATCTGTTGATTTCCATGTGGTAGATACATCAAACTTTATCTACCAAAATACGCAATACTTTTTCTCTGTCATAGAAGATCATCATTGACACCAAGTTTACTTAAAAGTACACTTTATTATACTTAATTTATCTTTATACTGTCTTGTTACATGTTTTGTGTCTGTCTTCCTTTTTAGCCTCTTAGATCATGTTTGAAATAGGTGTTCTCAAATCAACAGTTATCTCTTGGATTCACTGTGTTTTTAAATCAAACATCAGAAACTAAAATCCTGCAGCCTAGTGGCTAAAGGCCACTGTATTTTTCAGTTTGTTAGCAAATCTCATTAAATGCATTTGTCATCTACTCTACTCTGTCCTTGGCTCTCAGCCCCAAGCCCACTCTTTCCTACTGAAGATATAAATCTTTTATAAAGAGCTCACAAATATATACTTTTACTTTAAAAACGGTCTTGGTAGTTTTCCAGAATAGCTGGTTGCTGTAGTTTTAATCAGGTTAGGAAATAATCAATATTTGGGTGACTATTTTCAGCGGTGGATTAATTCATGGGATTGAGCCAAAATAAACTCCAGTGTGTGTGTATATGGTAATGAAGGAACATGTCACCCAGTGCAATAGTGTGGCTCACTGTTGTGTTTTTAGTAGTTTTTGGACAACAATGGAGCTCTATGGTAGAGGAAGAAGATGTGATATACACAAAATACTACATACTGTAACATATAACCACAACATTCCCAGTTCAGTTCCAGTTTGGGGCCTTTGTTGCATATCATACCTTCAGTCCTTATTTTTTCAGTTTATATTTAGCCACTGTACAATACAGGGAGTTCAATGCTAAAACATTAAAACGTTACAGTATCTTCAAAAGAAAATCTTTTAAAAAAAAATAAAAATAAAGCTTGGATGGTCATTTTATGGAATACACCTCTGAAAATGTCTTGACTCTCATCGAAAAGAGAGAGCTCATTTAAAGAAGAACAAATGTGCTAGTTATTTTCTTTGCTTGTAGATATATTGAATTAATAATTAGTATGCTTCCACTAATTTTCCCTGTTGAAACATGACAGCTGTTAGTGTCACATTACTTCTAATAACCACGTAACAATTAACTAACTAAGCCCTTTTCAAAATAAAATGACAAATAACAATATCTAAAGTAACGTGTTTTAAAAAGGAACATTAAAGGGGGCACTAACATGTGACCCTAGAGGTGTCTGGACAATTAAAGACAGACTTCAAAGATAAGCTTAAATGAATCATGAAAATCATAAAATCTTAAATTATAAAAACTCGGAGGCAGTGAAGGGCAGCAGGGATTAGTGTATTGTGATTGTAGCTCTTAGAGTTGGCTCAAGCCTGGCAGCAGCATTTCACACAAACTGCCGACAGGAGATATCTCTCCTGCAAAGGTCAGAATAAAGGGCATTGCAACAATCGAGCCGGCAGCAAATTCAAGCATGACTGACCTTTCCAAGAGCTCCAACTTATAAAAAGGACTTAATTTCAGCAATTTGTCTCAGCTGCAGGAAACCTGATGGCAAACCCTTCATCAGATGAGGAGCGAAAGAAACGTGGGAATTGAACATCACACCTCAATTACAGGCCTGAGACTTAATATTAGATGACAGACTTCAGACTGGAGATAATTGATGACGCTAACCATAGTAGCCATACCCACATACCACAGCAGCGTCAGGTGTCAGGTTTCATTCAGGGTTGTAAAGGCTCAGCTTGCAGTAAAAAATGTATTCAGATATGAACTCTCAGCTGAATGCTAAGTGAGGGGTTTGCTGAACATGATCCATACAAGTTCCATTTTAAAAAGTACGCCTGAGTAATGGCATCCTTTTTCTTTTTTATGCCAAAGGATCCACTGGATACTCCACTGTGCCATATGTACAACAAGCCTATGTGTCAGAGCATGTCTAAAGGTTTCAGGTGAACTAGTACTTTCTTGGGACCCACTGAGATCTCGACTGCACCGGTTTGGTATGCTGGTGACTCGACGTGCGCCCCAGTGGGAGAACAGGCACCATAAGTTAAAACTGCCTCAGGATTATGTGTTCCTGCTAGTCTTTTCGCAGTGTCTCCATGACACAAACCACTGGATAGCAGTGAAATGGGCCAAAGAGTCGCGTGAAGCTCTAAACTAAGATGCTAACTGCTTATCATCAACATGTGCACATCGTCTGTTTAAGCTTGTTAAGCTTTTAGCTCAAAGCATTGTTGTGTCTAATTCAAATTTTTAGCAAGTAGAACACTGTTTGCCAATTTTGTCATCATACTAAGGCTTCACCCCTCAACTGTTGTCCAATGATTTCACCAAGTTCCTTTCATCCAGTGTGTATCTTAGCTGAAGAATATTTAAGCAACTTTATCTACTTTGTCTCTTTCTGCTGGCATTGCAGTCTATGCTGCTTCACAGCTTTACCCCTATTCGGTAGTCCATTCGATTGGGGTCGGTATGCATCATTTTGTTAATTGGTTATGTGTGTATTATAAAGGTATAATACAATGGCTTGGCCTTGGCTGAATACTCAGTTCTGATTGGTCCAAGGGTAGGTAGTAATTTTCAATAAAGGGACACCTCCTCGGTCTAGCCTAACTCACATCCAATCTATGACCACGTGAAAAGGAGTGCCCACCCATTGAAACCCTGTTGCCCCTTGCTGATAATTGTCTGGAGCCAGCGCTGACCACCACCACCAGTATCAAGGCCCTGTCTATGGCTCCCCAGGGGGCTCTCCAATTGGCTGTTTTAGGGCGGTATACCTGTGTATTAATCTAATCAAAAGGGTCAACGTCTTCTTTATCAGATAATGTTTCTGCATTCATGATTTGTATTTCCTGATGGAACGATATTTAGATGCTAGTATGGCTGTAGATACATATTGTTGTTAAGATGTAAATTATTTTGAGGATAGATACAATTTTAAAATAGAAAAAGAATAGAAAGAAGTACCAGCCAAAAACTTATATTATTATTGCAGACAGATAAACCAAGGATAATATGTAAAGTAGGTCCTTTCCTGACTAATCTTCTACCTCTCCTTAAATTACTTAGTTTGTACGAAAGATCTAGTCTGGATGTTTACCTTTGTACTGCGGTTTTGTTTGTACTCCATATTACAATTTTACATGATCAAATAAAAGCAATTCTGGGAATTCTCAATAAGGATAAAAACATGATCATGTTTAG